CAAAATGGACATCGCCAACAAACTCGGAGTGCTTGGGTATGGTTAGGAGGGCAGTTACTTTTCTAGCTTGCCCTATCTATGTTTCCTGGAAAAATACATGGGAAGATCCCATAGGAGGAAAGTTCCACTTAGGGTTAGGGTTAGGTCACTATGAACTCATAGAGCAAAATAGACATCTCCAACAAACTCGGAGTGTTTGGGTATGGTTAGGAGGGCACTGACATTTATAGCCTGCTCTATCTATGTTTCCTGGGAAAATACATGGAAAAATCCCATTGGGGAAAATTCTACTTAGGGTTAGGGTTAGGTGACCATGAACTCATAGAGCAAAATGGACATCGCCAACAAACTTGGAGTGCTTGGGTATGGTTAGGAGGGCACTGACCTTTCTAGCCTGCCCTATGTTTCCTGGGAAAATACATGGGAAAATCCCATTGGAGGAAAATTCCACTTAGGGTTAGGGTTAGGTCACCATGAACTCATAGAGCAAAATGGACATCGCCAACAAACTCGGAGTGCTTGGGTATGGTTAGGAGGGCAGTTACTTTTCTAGCTTGCCCTATCTATGTTTCCTGGAAAAATACATGGGAAGATCCCATAGGAGGAAAGTTCCACTTAGGGTTAGGGTTAGGTCACTATGAACTCATAGAGCAAAATAGACATCGCCAACAAACTCGGAGTGTTTGGGTATGGTTAGGAGGGCACTGACATTTATAGCCTGCTCTATCTATGTTTCCTGGGAAAATACATGGAAAAATCCCATTGGGGAAAATTCCACTTAGGGTTAGGGTTAGGTCACCGTCAACTCGGAGAGCAAAATGAATATTGCCGACAAATTCAGAATGCTTGGGTATGCTTAGGAGGGTACTTACTTTTCGAGCCTGTCTAAGGTAGGTTTCCAGGTAAAATACATTGGAAAATCCTATTGGGGAAAATTCCACTTTGGGTTAGGGTTAGATCGCCGTGAACGTGGAGACCAAAATTGATATCGCCAACAAACTCGGACTCCTTGGATATCCTTAGGAGGGCATTGACTTTTAGAGCCTATGCTATCAATTTTTCCTGGTAAAATACATGGAAAAATCCCATTGGGGAAAATTCCACTTAGGGTTAGGGTTAGGTCACCGTGAACTCGGAGACCAAAATGCATATCGCCAACAAACTCGGAGTGCTTGGGTATGCTTAAGAGCGTACTTACTTTTCGAGCATGCTTAATGTAGGTTTCCTGGTAAAATAAATGGGGAACCCCTATTGGGGAAAATTCCACATACGATTAGGGTTAGGTCCCCTGAACTAAGAGACCAAAATAGATATCACTAACAAACACAGAGTCCTTGGATATCCTTAGGGGGGCATTGACTTTTCAAGCCTATACTATCAATGTTTCCTGGTAAAATACATGGCAAAATCCCAGAGGAGAAATGAAGAACCTGTTAGAGCAGAATAACACTATATTGAGGCAAGATATAGTTATGGCTCTATCAGGACTTGCTTCTGTGGTTGAGAAGCTTGATTCTAGAGTTGAAGTGGTCGTAGATAAGGTCGACATTTTGGAAGATAAATTTGAAGGCATGGAAAAAAAGATGGAAATTTCACAAGATGACATTCTTATGTCTCAGTACAGGGAAATGGAATGTGCTTTAAGAATCAGGGGCCTGAAAGAGGATATGCATCAAGATCTGACAGAGATTGTGGTAAATGACTTTGCCGTTATTTTGAATAGGGAGAAAGATGGAATACGTAGAGAAGTGGAAAAAGTTTACAGAGTTAACTCCTGGGTCGCAAAACAGAAGAACTTACCAAGAGATGTGGTGATTTATTTTGCAAAGAGATCTCTGCGTAATGAAATAATACAAGCTTTCTATAATAAGAGGTTTCAGATTGCTGCTCAAGATGTTATTATTTTAAAGGAGATCTCATCTAAAATTTTAAGAAAGAGAAAAGATTTTGCTTTTCTAGCTAATGAACTCAAAACAAGAATGATGCCATTCAGATGGGAGATCCCGATGGGTATTGTCGTGAGCCATGCGGGGACGCATTATAGACTTAATACAGTCACTAAAGCAAAGGAGTTTTACAGTTCGGTCCTGGGAGCAGGCTCACCATCACCTATGATGCAGAAAGTTCTGGATGGTAAAGAGGTGGAACAGCAGTCTGAAGGACAAGGTGTGATGGTTGCTGGAAAGCTACTGGCGGAGTGGTCGTGACAAACAGAGATCAAAGAGCAAAGAATGACCCGTGCTGATAAGGTAAAATACCTGGGGGTTACTTTATCTGTCTCTAATGTAAAATTGTATAAAAATAATTATGAAAGGTTGTGGGTCAGGATACAAAGAGATTTGAAAAATTGGGAGAAGTTGCAATTATCTCTTTTGGGAAGAATTGCGGCGATTAAAATGAATGTCCTGCCTAAGTTCCTTTTTTTATTTCAAATGATACCCATCTTAAAGAATGAGGTTAATTTAAATGAATGGCAGAAAGGTATCAATAAATTTATCTGTGCAGGGAAAAAACCAAGAGTAAAGCTCAAAATTATACAAGATATTCGTGAGAGAGGTGGACTCAAGGTACCAAATTTGAAATTGTATTATGATGCTGTGACCTTAACATTAATTAGTGATTGGGTTAATTTAACAAATGCAGAAATACTGCTCTTGGAGGGTTGGGATTTACTTTTTGGTTTGCATGCCTATTTAATTTTTAATAAAAAAGTTGATTGGGTTTTTAAATCTCATATTATAAGGATTTTTTTACTTCGGGTTTGGAGGAAATATTATAGAAATGATTTTAAAATACCATTATGGACTATACCTTGGCATGCGATAGAGGGGATAAGGAGAGGAGTCAAGATGGATAGTGTTTCTTACGCACAACTACTCAGATGGGATGGTAAAAATTGGCAGTTAAAATCTTTGGAAGATTTAGCACAAGAAAATATTATATATTCATGGTTTCAGTATAGACAAATAGTGGATAGATGGAAGATAGATCGTAATGTGGGCCTGATTAGAGAAGATGAAAATTTTCTTAAACAAGTAAAAGATCAAAGACGAACTCATATTAAAAGAATTTATGGGGTGCTAGTAGAATTGGATTCAGAACCAGAATTAATTAAAGAATGTATGATTAAATGGGCACAAAATCTTGGTGAACCAGTTCTACTAGATACCTGGGAAACCATCTGGGTGAGGAATGTTAAATTTACATAAGCCCAGAACTTAAGGGAGAATTTTTATAAAATGTTTTACAGATGGCACCTTGATCCACAAAAAATGTCTCGTATGTATCCTGACTTACAGCCTAAATGTTGGAGATGTGGTTGTTTGGATGCTACTTATTATCATATCTGGTGGTCGTGTAAAAATATAAAAGCCTTTTGGATTAAGATATGGTGGAATATTCAAAGAATTTTTAGAAGGAGGGTAAAATTTACTCCTCAATTGTTTTTGCTAGGTATTGTTACTGATTGTGATACTAAGGAGGTTATATTGATGCTAAATTTAATTACAGCCGCAAGGTTGTTAGTAGGGCAATATTGGAAGAAGGAATCTTTGCCTACTTTGCAAGAGTGGTTTTTTAAAGTTTCTTATTTGGCGGAAATGGCAAAGATTTCGGCTTTTTTAAAGGACCAATCGCAAGAGAAGTTTTATGTGGTATGGGAAAAATGAATAGATTTTATACAATATAAGTTGGATATAAAAAATATTACTTAGTTTTTCAATAACTTATATACAAATTTTAATATTTTAGAGATTGTATTTTTTTCCCTCTTTCTTTATATTTTTGTATTTTTATTTTACTTTCTTATATTTCTTTTCTTCTTTCTTTTTCTTTATTCTTTTTCTTTTTAAGCAATTTTTTTTCTTCTAATATTTATGCTTTTTTATATATATATATTATTGTATTTTATAAATTGTTTAAGTAATGTATTTAGACATATTTATGATTCATATTCTTTTTGTAAGATTTTAGAAACTTTAATTAAGCCTATATTCAGCTCTGGGAAGGTTGAGGGAGGGAGTGGGAGGGTTGGGGTGGGTCGGGTAGGGTTGTTTCTTTTTTGTAAAAATTTTAAAAAATTTTCAATAAAAAAAAAACACGGAGTCCTTGGATATCCTTAGGGGGGCATTGACTTTTTAAGCCTATACTATCAATGTTTCCTGGTAAAATACATGGCAAAATCCCATTGGGGAAAATTCCATTTAGGGTTAGGGTTAGGTCACCATGAACTCGGAGACCAAAATGCATATCGCCAACAAACTTGGAGTGCTTGGATATGTTTAGGTGGGCATTGACTTTTCGAGCCTATACTATCAATGTTTCCTGTAAAATACATGGAAAAATCCCATTGGAGAAATTCCACTTAGGGTTAAAGTTAGTTTTGCTCTTGAATTTGCATTTGTAAATTTGTAAAAAGTTATAAATATAAACAATTAAAATGTTTTATCCTTATGAACCTCTTTTATATTCCCCCCCCCTTTTCAGGGTTGTCTTTTATTTTTTCCAGAAAAATATGATCATTGTAATTACGGTATAGCTGACTAGTTGAGAATCAGCAGTAGAAGAATAAAGGATAATTCCAAAAGACTATTTGTTTACCTTATCTGAATGATCCTGGGGTAGCTTTTATTGACTGCTACATATTCAACTACATTTTTTTTTTTTTTAGTAAAGTAGTACGTATTTCCACCAGAAGTCAGATAGAATGAGAGCAGAATCTAAAGCAGGGGTCTACAAACTTGGCCCTTTTATGACTTGCATTGCTTGGCTGAGGAATTCTGGGAGTTGAAGTCCACAAGTCATAAAAGGGCCAAGTTTGAAGACCCCTGATCTAAAGCTCTGCTTTTAGCTAATTAAAACAGCTGCCTAATTGATCACCAAAAGAATTGTCAATTTTTTTCTTTACTTTCTATCTTTGGGTGAAAAGGCGAGGGAGAAACACAGTTTTTGAAAAGAGTATTCAGGGCTTCACAGGGAACAACAGATGGAAAATGTATTACCTCTTCCCATGGCTGTGGATAGTTCTTTCTGATGTAATGGATACTTGTGTTGAGGAAAGGTGACCAATGAGTATCTTCAGAAACATAATGGAACAATCCTGACAATTCAGAGGACAAGGCTTACTTTTTTCAAAAACCATAACAACTCATATTTAATCTACATTAGGCATGTCAAACTGCTGGCGCGTGGGCCAGATGCATCACAATGAAACTGCACCCACCCCATTGCTGGCAATGGGGGAAAAGTCGCGATACGTCGTGCGATATCACATGACGTCGTGAGTTTGACATGCCTGATTACATGTTGCATTTTAGTCATACAGAATATAACATTCAGTAACATTTTGACGGCAAAATATTACATGAAAATATTTTAAGGTATGCAGCAAAACATTTAATAAAACCCAAATAATGTGAATAATAAAAACATCCAAGATCCCATGCCAAGATTAAAAATTCCCTGAAGAATGCAGTGGGAAGCAAATTCTGCACTGCATTGGTATATCCACAAAATCACCAGACGTCAAGCTTGATTTAAAATAGAATTTATCTGTTCACTGTGCGTGCCCTGATTTTAATATGATACGCACAGTGGTGGGATTCAGCTGGTTCACACTACTTCGGCAGAACTGGTAGCTAATTTTTGTTGCTCAGGCCCAGAATGGACTTCCGGAAGTGGCATCCACACAGAGAACCAGTTGTTTACATATTTGAATCCCACCATTGGATATGCAATATTGTTAGATCCGAACATGGGCTATTTAAAATATGATTTATCTTTATAAGCCAAGATAATAAAGTAAAACCACAATTAGTCAAGAAGAGGAATGCCTCAGTAGAGTGTAAAGAAGACAGGTTCTCATTGTACACTTATTGATGTATTTTCCAATTTCATAAATAAATGGACTGGTCTACTTTTGCAATAATGTGATCATATTAAAAAATAATATTTGACCTAGGGTCTCCTACCATTTTGGCAGAGGCCAGAATAAAAAGCATCAGGATACAGACTTCCTGCTTGATATGCATCTTGGTGAGCTAGTATTAGCTGCAGAATAGAACAAAGAAACAAATATGTAAGTATTGAAAGGCTATTATTATAATGCTGCAGATTTTATGTTTATTTAGCAAAATCAAAATCATTCCCCTGAAAGATTACAGAAGGCATGACAGAGATAAGTCACTCCACATGATTTATCTTTAGTATCAAATTATTAAAAAGTTGTTCTTCATAGGGATCTCCCTTGACTAAAACTCATTAACAGTAATTTCTGCAGTAAAGTAACTTATCTTGAATCCAAATGTCCACCTTTTTCAATATGATGCCCTTGAACATGATTACAGAAAATTCTGAGAGCTGTCCTCGACATACCCTTACTATCCCTCCTCATATCTTTCAACAACAATACACTCTATAGATATCTATCTTTCGTTTCCAAGCATAAAATCAGAAGCTTATTGGAATCTATCAACTTTTAGGAAACGATTATGCTGGTCAGTGAAAGAGCTTCCTACACATGTAGTTAATAGCTTACATACGTAGTTAAGTAGCTGAAACAGTAAAACACTGTACAGATTGGTATTTAAATTATTATTTATTTTTCCTCCCACCCAACAAAGTGACTACAGTTAAAAACGCAATTAAAACCTATCCCATATTTATGTATGCTGTTTTCCTGGTTGATATAAACCAACAGGGATGGCATGCTTCAGTTCGTTCAATTAAGTGGTGTCAACCTTTGGGACCCAGGCTGCACACTTTCTCCATTACAGTATCTATCCTCTGAAATAAAGTTCATCCTGAAATCTGAGTGGCTCTAACTCTGATAACATTCTAGACAGTCTTGAAGATCTGGCTCTTCTTCCAGGCCTTGGATTAGAGTGGCTAGAATCCCTTTTGAGTTCCATCTTGGCTACCTTCAACATCTTGTTCTTCATCTCCTTTTCTTATTGGTGTTTCCTAGTTGTTTTTGAATTCTTATTCTACTTTTGTTGTTATACAGGCAGTCCTCGACTTACAACCATTTGTTTAGTGACCATTCAACATTACAACGGCACTAAAAAAGTAACGTATGACTTTTTCACACTTATGACCATTGTAGCTTCCCCATGGTTACATGAGAAAATTTGGATGCTTGGCAACTGACTCATATTTAAGAAGGTTGCAGTGTCCTGAGGTCATGTGAACAACTGATTCACGTTACAATAATTAAACCCTCTACCTTACGATAGTCAACTTGTCCATCTTGCTGGCTGAAAAATTCCAGCGCTCTATGAGCTGAAAAATAAATAAGATCACAATACATTTAGCAATGTACATTTGTAATGGGATAGAGAAACTGTAAGGAGGGATCAGCTACAGCTTTTCAGTGAATAAAGATCCACATTTTATATAGGTACTCACACATGCTTTCCAAAAATGCTGGGTCTTTCCCCACAGTTCAATTAAAATGTTATCCCCTCTGTCCTTCAGCCAATAAAAATTATACTGACATAAAATGTTCTGTCCCCATTACAGATCCCTCACCGGCTTCTCCGTCCTCTGCTCTGGCTTGTGACCAGATAGTTGTATCTTGATTTCATGTGTGCCAGGCAGGTCAATCAAAACATTTACTATTGTCTCTGATTTTGCTGCTTTTTCCTGAATTACCTCAACCAGCAGGATTCTATCTGCCAATCATGAATATAGTCAGCTGTCAAAAATCCTCAATGTGGGTAAGCCAGGGCAGTGGTCTCTCTAAGACAGAAAAGGCTCTCCTGTTTTATTAGGCAATCCAGATGATCATCTGCTTGATAGGCTTGTTTTGACACTCGGTTTAGGCTGAGGCCAAGCAGGCACCTCTCAATTCATGGATCGATTGCTTTCAAGCAGGCCTGTTTCAACAGCGAGTTTAGTTCTAAACTCAAGTCTTCAAATAAAACTTCCCCGCATCTGATCAAAATATCTGCATAAGGAAAAGCCCCACCTCTCATAGACATATTAGCTGATCAATGGCCTTGTTTTGACAATGGATGTCCAAAGAGTTGTGTCAAAAAAAAAGCCAACCAAGCAGTTGATTATTACAGCAACCTAGGAAAGCAGAACAGCTTCTGCTTTTCCAATGTTTTTCCAAAGGATTCTAAATATGTAGTCAAAACAAGCAACTAAAGCGCAGACTATAGTACATGTTTAGATTTTTAGATCTTGATACTTTGTGATTTTCTCCAATTCTTTGTCCTCTATTCTATCATTATTACTACTACTGTTTATCTACTACTACTAATAGCTTACCTATTTCAATGTGTGTTGACAGGCCACATGGTATAATTCTTTCCCAAAAATTGCAAAGTACAGCCAGAATCAACCAACTCCTGAAAGCTTCCATGCCACTGATAATCTGTAGTAAAAACCACAATTTTGAAGATGTGTTCAGTAGGAAGATTGCAACCTTTGAAACATGAAAGTAGACTACAGTTCTAAATCAAATATGACAATGGCACTGAGGTCTCATGCTTGAAATTCAATTCCCCATTTCTATAAGCTAGCTAACAGATTATTTTATTTTACCGACAAGAATTAGACTAAAAAAAACCTAAAATCCCTTATTCATTGGTAATGAGTCAAATCATGCCTAAAATGGAGAAGGTGAACTGTTATTGAAATGAACGCTTTAAAAAATCTCTCTTCTAATTCGATTATTTAGCCAATCAAGAGTTATCTCCAGCTGGATAGCTCCTCTGCTTCAACTAAAAGTCATTGCTTAATGGAGTTTCTGTCATATAAAATAAAGGAGAAGCTAAAGACAAATATAACAGGTTAAAAATACAAGATCTTACCTGCCTTAAAGGCAGATCTTATCTGCGTTAAAATTAGGAGTTGTGTGTTTACATAATAAAATGAACATCTGGAAGCCTCTCTTGCCAAATATGGTATCTGTATCAAAAAAATATTACCAAACAATATCCATCTTTTTGAAAAAAAGCAAAGTTGAAATGACTGTATCTGCCTTCCGTTTTTCCACTAATGCAATGATGCAGTGCTTATTTTACTCACTATGAGATAAACTGCCCACGAGCAAGAGGTCTGCGTGATAGCAGCTTATATATATCTTGATTCATGGGTTAATAAAGGAATAAAAACTAAGTGCTGTTAATGCAGTTCTGCAATAAATGCAGTAATTCATATTAAACAGCAATCGTTTCTCATTTCAAAATGCTAGAAAAGTCTGGAAAATACTGAAGGAGGGAATCCAAGCCAAGAAGTCCCTCACTCCATCCCACCTCCCCACCCCCACCCCTTGGCTTTTCTCTGCCAAGTGTGGGGTGAAATTTGAACCCACAGTTTTATATCATTTTTATCAGCAGCTGCCTCTGCCCACTTATTTTGCCTATTTAAAATATGTCTACAACTTTCATCATGTAATACCAGAACCATTGGTAACATAGTGCATAAACACAATAATTTGTTTAAAAAACAAATAATGGTACAAGAAGTATTCAGTAAGCATGATTTAAAGGAACAATAAGCTTTTCAGTGACAAGTACAATGATAAAGCCAGAGTGAGAGATTATATAAATTGAAATGCCTGGAAACAGATCCATTTTAACTGGAGGCTGACAAGATTATAAAGAAGGTGTTACTTGCTGAATCTTTTGAGGAAGAAAAGATTCCAAAACTGAGGTTCTCCCAAAGTGAAATTATTTGCTTTAAAATCGCACTTCCTGCATGGGAGGAATTTGGAACAATGCCATTTTGGAAGTTCTTAAATCAAAGCTTGGCACGACAAGTTGGTTCCAAAGTTGTTCCAAAGAGCTAGAAATGAAAGAAATAGCACCTTAAACTGACTAAAAAAGTAAAATAAGGCAACAGTGCTGTTCTTCTGATTGGAATTCTTTTAATATTTGAATGAATTGCATTGTACTGTCAACATTCTACACAGAATTTCTAAGTCATCTTTGTGGCAACGACGAGAGCATGGATGACCACAGTAAGATCATTTTTGTTGCAAAATAACCATGACTAATATTATCCATGCCACTAAGACCATTTGAAACTTTGGTTTATTGGCCCTTATCCAGACCATTATCAAATCTAGATACCACTTCAGTAGTCTGTGCGGACCCAGAGAAATAGCTTTAAATACCCTGAGACCAAAAGATTGGTCCAATAATTCCAAATTCTTAAAATGTCCTCATTCAGTACCTTTGTATAAATGTTAAAGAGCATAAGAGGTATAATGGACCCTGCCATATTGTTTCTTCCTCCCTGACCACTTAAACTATTGTGGAGAATGGCAGAACAACTGCTTCATCCTTTCATCACTCCTCTTTGTGGATTCATATACCAATGTATCTAAGGTTAAACCATCTATTGCTCAATACACTGAATCATAAACTGGATTTACACACCAATGTCTTTTGGATGGGGAGGACTCAGAAGAGAGAAGTTAAGTCCAGTCCCCTCCTCATTGCATAGTCACGATCCAACTCCATGATCCAATGTGGCAAATGAGTGATCAGAAAGAAATGCTGGATCCAATTCTCCGTTGGCAACAGAAAACGGCAACTTATAATGATGAATCATTTAAACTTCTTGGGGACATTTAATTTCTGGAATTTAAGAGGGCATTCTCAATCAAATGAAAGTTTTCAAAGCACAAATTTATTAAGAGGTTTAACAGCAAAATACAATGCTATTTGTTATTTTATTAAATCACATTATGTATACTAATCAGCTCATTGATGCATAAGGACAGCTATATTATTACAGATCTATATTTGAATGGCCAAGTTAATAATCTTTCCCATCTGTATTTCTGCATGTTTGTTTTCCCTGGACTAAATTGCTCATAATTTATGCTCTCACCACATAGATTTACAATCAGGATAGCAGAATAACAGAGTTGGAAGGGACCTTGGAGGTCTTTTAATCCAACCCCCTGCTCAAGCAGGAGACCCTACCATTCCAGATAAGTGGCTGTCCATTTAAAAAGCTTCTGGTGATGGAGCACCCACAACCTCTGAAGGCAAGTCATTCCACTGATTAATTGTCCTTATTGTTAGGAAATTTCTTTTCCAGATTACTTCTCTACTTGATTTGTTTTCAAGCATTGCTTTTTGTCTTGCATTCTGGTGCTCTGGAAAATATATGGATCCCTCTTTGTGGCAGCCTGTCAAATATTGAAACACTGCTTTGTCCTTCTTTTCACTAGACATACCCAATTCCTGTAACCATTCTTCATTAATTTTAGCCTCCAGCCCCCTAATCATCTTTGTTACTCTTTTCTGCACTCTTTCCAGAGTCTCAACATCTTTTTTATAATATGGTGACCAAAACTGGATATAGTATTCTAACTGTGGTTTTATTAAGGCTTTATAAAGTTATTCTGATACTTCATGTGATCTTGATTCTATCCCTCTGTTAATTCAATCTAGGATTGAATTCGCTTTTTTGGCTCCTGCCATACTGTTGGCTCATATTTCAGTGATTGTCCTGATCAAGACGGCTTCATTCTCTAAAAGCACATGGCAGGAAAAAATATGAGCTGTTAACATGCCGTAAAAGTACTTTTTAAAGATGTTTGCATTTGTGCCCCATCCTTTTGCATCCTTTCTCTAATAGCTAAATATAGCGTATGGGAGGCTTGTTTTGTTTGTATTTCATACTTCTTAACTGCACATCTCCCTCAGAGATTCCCTTTAATATTAATAGTCTTGCACTGAGAACCAATGACAAGTCCAAAATAACTGGATCAGTATTACTCTTCTGAAGTGCAGACTTCTCTCAGCAGAGATATTTCTTCCACCAGAAAAAATTCCCAATGACCATCAGAAATGGTTCCTCCTAAACTGCCTGTACAGATGCGTGTTGATTAAATTACAGCGGCATGACCGCTTAGCATAATTAAATCCCATATAAAACAGTAGAGTGACTGTAACTGCCAGCTCCAGAGGGAGAGTTCATGACAATCAGATCACTGGGTGACTTTAAAGTTTAAGCCATCCTGAGTACCACCATGTAAATGGCATTATCTCTATCAATGTGTGTATACCCCACTGAGTTGAGAGGCTCTTATTCCCAGGAGAGCATACTCCTGGGTTTTTGTGGCTCCTCCAGCCTGAATCAGAATCAAAATAGAGCTGGAAGGGACCTTGGGGGTCTTCTAGTCCAGCCCCCTGCTCAAGCAGGAGACCCTATACCATTTCAGACAAGTGACTATCCAGTCTCTTCTTAAAAAGCTCCATTGATGAAGCACCCACAACTCCTGCAGGCAAACTGTATCACCGATCAATTGTCCTCACTGATAGGAAGTTTCTCCTTAATTCCAGGTTGCTTCTCCCCTTGATTAGTTTCCATCCATTGTTTCTCGTCTTGCCTTCTGTTGCTTTGGAAAATAAGTTGACCCCTTCCTCTTTGTGGCAGCCTAGCCGACTCCTTTACGGCCACCGCTTGCTATGCAGCGGAGGAGCTCAAAGGGTCGCCGCGCTCCTCAGGGACGTTCACCAGCCCTTTGCGCTCGCCCGCCCCGCGCTCCGCCTTCCATGGAGGGGAAGGACGATGGCGGCGAGGATTGCGTGGCCGCATTTCCGGGGGTTGCTGGCCCACCGCTCCTGCCGCAGTCCCCGGTCCCTGCTGCAGGCCAGGCCGACTATGGCGAGCCCGTCGCCTAGCCGGCTGAGAAGTACCGGCCCAGGCTTCGCCACTGGGGCTGCTTCCCTGGCGCGCTCTGGAGGCTTCGTGGGAGGCCGCTGGCTCCAGGCGGCAGCCACTTTCCCCGTGCGGGACCCGGCCACCGGCACGGAACTCCTCCAGGTAGCGGACTGCGGTGTGGCGGAGACGGAGGCCGCGGTGAAGGCCGCCTACGAAGCCGGCGCAGCTTGGAGCGCAGCTTCTGCCAAGGTGAGCGAAGAGAAGGCGCCCGGCGGCGTCCCGGCTAACGAGAGGCTGCAGGAGAGGAGGTGGGGGGTGGGGTGCGATAAGCAAATTGGGAAGGCAGGGGATGCGGGGTGCGGAAAGAAATGCTTCCCAGGAAGCAAGCGATCTGAGAGCCCGGGGATGGTTTCAGTCAGTCGGGTTTCTGCACGTGTGCAGAATGCTGGCTTCTAATTAGCCACGCGCTACCTAGTCTTCCCGAATAGCTCTTTGCAGGTTGATTCAAATTCAGCATAACGTGTTCACTTTCTAATAAGTGTGTTTTATCTGCAGCCTCTATAGCAAACCACAGGTTCGCCTCCAAAGCAATGGCAGAGTCATCAATTAGTCATTACTGTACACCAATGCTGCTGTTATGCTTTATGTCAGAACATCTGATGGAAACATCCAGATGTATATGCTGATGTCAAAGCTGATGTTGTCATTTCTCCCCATCAGCCCTGCAGACACCCTGCAGGGGTATTCAGTCGTAATAATATCTGGTATCTGGAGTTAATTTTTTTTTCCAAATTGTGCTAGTTGTATTCAGAAAATAACAGAATAACAAATTTGGAAGGGACCTTGGAGATCTTCTAATCCAACCCATCTGCTCAACCAGGAAACCCTATAGCAGACAAATGGCTATCCAGTCTCTTCTCAAAAGCCTCCACGGATGGAGCACCCATAACTTTAGATAAACTGGTATGGTCCTGTGGTTGGATTGTGGATTTAAAAAATCAGATATGCCGTACTCACCAGTAGATTAAAATCCAGTTTGCAGAGTCAGTGAAAGAAATTGCTGTAATAGCAGTTTCTTGGCTTACTTGTTAACTAAATTGGGACATGTACTTTGTACAAGATAAAAGGAACACGTGTAATATTTATATGTTTCTGGTATGTAAATAGCGTGATGATAGACTGCAAAGGCCCATTAGAAGAATACAAGGTATTTCCCTAGTTTTCAGCTTTAATGGATTCTTATTTCTAAATCATGTATTCATATGTTTATATAGTTTCAAATTGTGTTTTATCCAGTCTCTAAATAAAAAGCCATTTACTCTCCAGGGGTACCTGCAGGATCAAAATCTTTCATCAGCAATGTTGGATCATTGTTCCACAAACTTGCTCGTTTCGTATACGTATCACCACATTTGTACAAAAGGGACGGGGTTTGCAGTGTGAACACTTTCATGATTTGAACTTCCTGTAGACATTTTTGGGCATTTTTTTTTTACATTCTGGAGCCTAAAACGAGTAAATTCTTTACTAAGTCAGACTTACTTCTGCATAGACATGCATAGCATTTTCCTCTGAATATCTTGGAATACTCTTGGATGCTTTTAAAATGTTAATTATTTTGTCTGTTTTTTTACACAAAGTATCTTTCCACCTCTTGCATTGTTTCAGACCTCACTTGGCCTGTGTTTGTACAGTACAGTAGATCTACTGTACTATAAACTAATCAATGACTTTTTAATTACAAATTGCTTATGATGCAAACTCAGTGAGTCAAAAAAATTCAGACTTTAAATTAACTGAGTAAACTGCTTAAATTAACTACAGGTGGGATAATGTAAAATGTAGCTACTGAAGATGCTTGACTATGGGGCTCATGTATTAAAATCTGCTTTTAGTTTTAGGAATAAACTTTGATCTACTTGATAGATTTGGAATGATCATAATTGAATAAAGTAAGACTCTAAGTTACAATTATATTTAGACAAATTTGCTTTTGTTTTCAAATTTTACAAAGATTCTTCTATAGTACAATTTTATTTTTTATTCAGGATAGAGCGGTTTTGCTTCGTAAATGGTATGATTTGATGATAGAGAATAAAGATGAGCTTGCAAGGATCATTACAGCAGAAAATGTAAGTATACAAAGAAGAAAAATCTTCCACTGAGGCTGCAGGCATGAAACTTAGCTTGCTGAGTACAGTTTTGCTTAGAAGAAAGATTGAAGCAACCAATAGACGGAATTCAAATGTTCTTCCTTGCTTGTGTTTGCACTATATTCTAAATTATATATCCTGGTTCATAAAATATAGCAGCTATATTCCCACAATACATTAAACCAAAACAAACCACATTATAGCATAGCACATAGACAATGTACTAAGGTAGCGGCAGTGCTTGCCAAACACATTGAATCTTATTTAGTCTTGTGTGATTCCAGCCCATGTTATTGTTCTGTACCATCAAAATGGAATTAAGGGCAGTGTTAAAAGTGAAGCCTATTGCTTCTAAGCAGCTAATCTTCTAATATTATGGAATTTTTTGAATCAAAATTTGTTAGCCAAGTGATTCAATACCAAGGGCTTAAGAAATAAATGGATGCTACAAAAGAAATAGGGGGCCACGTTAACATTTCTTTTATATTTATTTCTTAGGTTAAATTTATTTGCTGCCTATCTTGCCATGGGGCCATTCTAGGCAGCTTACAATAATAAGGAAGAAAAAGAAAAGGAGTGTTAACAGTACAGAAGTAAAGTAATAGAACATAAAATAAAAAGATGGAGGAATGCAGAGAGTGAGGTGGGGGGAAGTGGAATCTGCCATCAATACAACAGCCATCTCCAATATATATTGTTTGAATAGATGGAGGAAAAAATAGGAACGGCAGTGTAGCCAGAATAACATAGGCAAAAAACCTCCTGGGCCTTGCAGACAGGAAACCCTAAATGGGGCAACTGGAAGGTAATGGAAATAGCTGTTACTTATATTATCTGTTTGCTGAGTGAGCTGACAGTGGCATGTTGGGAGTCAGCAGGGCTGAAATTGCTCTCTGGATTAGTATTTCCTAAAGTGTGGTTTGGGGCCTGGCACGATCCTTGTAAAATATAAAATAACAGTCCTTGGAAAATGTACAAATAATCCCACTCTTTTGTCTCCAACCAGAGTTTTCCAGCTGTGATTTTTCCAGCAATCTTGTAAAAGGAGAGCTCTAACTATTGGCAATCAGATGACCTAAGCCTTAAAAAAAGTAGCAAATAAAATAAGAGAACAGAAAAAAAGGGTCAAAATACACGAAACCACAAATAAAAAGGACCACCTGTACAGTTTTTTAGGTTAACTAAGATTTAAAAAATAATTTCAGTTTGAATAGGAATAAAAAGGCTTGAAGAATGCTATAGGATATGCAACTGATAAAAACATTCAAAACTTTGTGTAAAGTATTAGAAATAAGTAGCTAAAACCTCTTGGATCAGAAATCTATTGACAGCTATTTAAAGTTTAGTTTCATTAAGTGTAGGTAGCAATAATCACATACCTTTGTGGGTAATCTGTCACACAGAACTATCCAATGAGGTAACCACCATGAAATCATCAAAACTGGAAATCACTTGGGAATGCAGCCATCAGAATTTGCAAGTAAGCCCTCAGATTTTTCCTATGTAAGAAAAAGAAGTGACTCCTACTAAAAGAAAGGAGTGGAAAATGCACTTCTATATATCCTTCTAGTAATTACTTTGTGTCACCGTCATATAATGTTTCCAAATTAATAGCTGAGATAGATTATCCATACAGTGTTGGCGAAATGTTAATGCCGCCTGCATGGAACCTTATTACATTGTGGGTTTAACAAGTGAGTTTGCTGCTTTTATCCAAAAATTCAGTAAAACGTAGAATTAAAGATCTGGTTAAAAAATGTGGTGAAAATGTGGTCATTTTGCTGCCATCTGGTGATCATCCAGATATTTACAACACAGAAATGGCATGCCTTGCTTAATCCTTCCTCTGTTAGAGGGTTATTCCTTGCAAACCATCTCATCAAGGGGTGTTTTTTTCCTCCTTTTTATTCAGGCAAATAAATGGTTATTTCAGCCAGAAGGAAACAGCCTAAGAGACAAGATGCTTACAGAAAAGAATTGGGTTAGGTTCTAATATAAGAGAATATATATATAGCTCAAGCTAAACTGTGGAGTCCTTTGTGCTCCCTAAGCTTGGTGGTTTACTTACCGACATTTAATTACCTGGCTAGCCAAAGAATACAAAGACTCCATGGGCTAGGGTCTTTCATTGCATACTGCAGACATGTCAAACGCAAGGCCCGGGAGCCGGATGCGTCCCGCGAAGTGGTTTCATGTGGCCCGCGAAGCCATCCTGGAAACAGTGAGGGAACAGCCCCCTCTGCCTTGGCCCTGGCCCAGACCAGCCGGGAGCCAATGTACAATTTTGTGGTGGCCATCTATACTGAAACGCATTCAGTCTTAGCTCCATAAGCCGCCCCCCCGCATGGCCTGAGAGGAACAGTGAGGCTCCTCCAGTGGACCATGCCTTGGCACTTGCCCTGGTCCCACCTCCTTCTGCCAGAGACCCTCAGATCTGTCCCACTCCTGCCCAGGCCCTCACAGACACCCTTGACGTGAACGGTGTAGAGCTGGCCACACCCACCCAGTAGGCCATACCCACTCCATCCACGCCCACCCAGTAGGCTGCACCCACCCGGCCCCCTGAGGGCAACCGCAATGCTGATGCGGCCCTCAATGAAATTGAGTTTGACACCCCTGGCATACTGTATATAGCTATAATGTGATTTGATTGCTTCGGGTCTTGTGTGATAAATATAGTATAAATCCAGTCACCACAAATTATAAATCATAGTTTTCAGGTTAGTGTATTGAAGTTCATTGATTGAATTTTCACTGAGCAAATTGTTGCTTGCTCAATGTGTGAACTTGTCTTTGGAACCCATGGTACAAAGATAAAGGTTTCTAATTTGTGTACCTTGGCAAATGATATATTTTTTTGCCTGTGATTTTTTTTTGTACTCTTTTTCTCATTTCTATCACATATTTTAGATTTAAAGCCTTTTTTGTTCAACTTTTTAATCTTGGCATTTTGTTTATATTTTAAATTAAAGATTAAATGCAAAAATTGAAATAAATCTGACAAAAGTGTAAAATCACAGGTCCTGAGATAAAGTTTCCTTATATAAGGTGAAATTGGATACAGATGTGCTTGTTCATTAGTTTTGAGGTTAGAAAAGTTAATAAGGTACTAGTAAAGCAAAAAGAATGTCCATTTTGCATTCACTATTATTTATTTATTTAAAAATAAAAAAGCTACTTCATATAAGCCTTCATACTTGCTCCAGATACTTGCATCAATATCTTGTTATTTATAATGGACAGGCAACTATTCCAATGTACAGAAAAAAAAGGGGAGGGGGAGAACTCTCTATTTAAAAGATGTACCAGATTGATCATATGGAGTAAACAACAATGAAAATAAACATTTTTAAATGGAGGCACAATGGAATGAAAAGTATTAATAATTATTTTTTTAAGAAGAGATGTTTGACTGTGTTCATTTATTTGTTCTGAATGTATCACAGGGAAAACCACTGAAGGAAGCCGAAGGGGAAATCTTGTATTCAGCTTCTTTCTTGGAATGGTTTGCTGAAGAAGCCCGGCGTATTTATGGTGATATTATTCCACCTTCAGCAAAAAACAGGAGAGTCCTTGTTTTGAAGCAGCCTGTGGGAGTTGCAGCCATCATTACACCTGTGAGTTGGCTGCTTTGTTGAAATCAGACTAGGGATCCACTTAAAGAGAGGAAGGGATTCCAGAAACAAGGGGCTTTCCCAGAAAAGACTCTAGTTTTGGTACTTTGTAATGTAAACAAACACTGAGTGGCAGAGAGAACGTAGGCTGACCATTGAAACTTAGAATCTCTGGCAACTCTCAGATTATCTCATTCCAGCTGTTCTAGGTTTACATAACAGGATGTGCAATCGGAAGATATGAATTGATGAATTCAAGTAGAGCCTGATTCAGCTTGCACTGATTTCTATCCAATTCAGAACTTCGTATTTCTCATATAAATCTAAATACGGATAGCCCTCGACTTACAAGTGTTCATTTAGTGAATGTTCAAAGTTGCAGCAGCCCTGAAAAAAGTGACTTATCACTTTTTATGCTTTGCAGCATCCCCGTGGTCATGTGATCAAAACTTAAAAGAGTGTTTAGAATCAGATTCTTTTTGGCCTCCTTTAAACGCACATAACAGGCCAGACCCAGAAATCTCTGACTTTTTCAAACAGGTCTATTTGGAGATATTTGGAGAATCTGCTTTCACAGGTCATTAATTACAGTAAAAAGCGGGCGCAACTATGCAGGGCAGGACAGCCAATGATTTCCAGAATATTGTTACTTCCAATAGTAGATGGGAGATTAAGTTTATTATCTTTTTCTTGGTATTTTGGCTAGAAATTTTAGGACTTGCCGATTATTTCCGTGTGCCCCTAATTCTGTTGATATTAAACTTGTGTGTATCTTTTCGCTACAGTGGAATTTTCCAAGCGCTATGATTACCCGGAAAGTAGGTGCTGCTTTGGCAGCTGGCTGTACAGTAGTAGTGAAGCCAGCTGAAGACACACCTTTATCTGCCTTAGCACTAGCCGAGGTAAGGTTTTTGTACTGATATTTATTTATTTATGAAACTTTTATATGGCTGCCCAGCTCGCTCTCAGTCACTCCTAAGTTGCTTATAAAGATAAAAGCCCAATACAAATACAGTAAAAAAGCAATAATATGATACGCCAGAGATAATTTTTTACCATAAAATTCTTAAATAAGAACTGTTGGATGCTGTTGTGACAATATTTTAATACGGGATACATGTTTTTAATGCAAGTATCCAGATCTGTGACTCTCCCGCCAATTATTTCTCACCGCAGCTTGCAAATCAGGCTGGAATTCCTGCCGGAGTATATAATGTTGTTCCATGTTCCAGACAACAGGCAGCAGCTGTTGGAGAGGTGCTTTGTACTCATCCCTTGGTAGCCAAAATCTCATTTACTGGCTCAACAACTACAGGAAAGGTATGCAGATTCACGTGTTTCAAGTGTTATACTCTAGGTCAGGGGTCCCCAAACTTGACCACTTTAAGACTTGTGGACTTCAAATGGCTGGCTGAGGAATTCTGGGTGTTGAAGTCCACAAGTCTTAAAGTGGCCAAGTTTGAGGACCCCTGCTCTAGGTTTTTTAATCTTCACAAAGTTGTAACTAAAGTATTTTTGGAACACTGCTAACCATTTTTAAATAAATGTTAACAATTTCCATAGTTCAGCTGTCTTGGAAAGGTTTGTAGAATCTGTTCATTCTTCAAGCATTGTCATAACTTTCTACATGCCCTGCCCCACCTGTTCCCAGCTTGCTGATCTCCAGATGCAATGAACCTCTTGCAACATACTTGCCTATAGTGCAGCAGGTAGCCATGATGAAGCCCGAACGACATTGCGTACATTGCGACATCACAGCACATACCCTTCATAGTTGAGTCTCAAGTCTGTTCACAAGAACATAAAAAGTGGACATTTTATTACAAGGTCACAATGCCCATTTCCTTCACCAGCCCCCTCTTGCAGACTTCAAAGCCATGGGTAATGTTGGCTAGAGATTTGATGTTCCACGGATATGAAAAATATCAAATCACGGAAATCTGCTCTAGGCCATCAAGCTTTTTTCACATATGAAAGAATTACTCATTTGGGAGGAAAAGCACTAAGGGAATAATTTTAAATTTTGGTATATTAATATCAAGACTTTTATGACACTTGAAGTCTTGTCTCAGGAAAAATGTAATTTATGTAAATGTTATCAGTCATATCGAGTCTAATTAAGATTTCCTATTAAAGTAGGAAATTTATTCTTGTCTTGTTTTTCTTCCTTTCAACCCCACAGAAAGTTGGAAAAATATGTAAATGAAAGTATGTATATTTAAATAGACTAAATGTATCCTTTAATGTCACAAAGGCAGGACACTGTCCATTAACAGGATAACTTTCCTAAAACTAAAAGACTAAAAGAGGAGAGAGTGGAGAAACCAGGAAAAAAAATGTATTAAATTCAAAAATTATGGAGGCTGCAGGGTAATCTTGCTAGAAAAAGTTCCCACAATGCAGTTGGGCAGCAGCTTGGAATTCTGAGCCCCTCCTTCTAGATCACATAATCTAGATAAGTATTTTTCAACCTCAGAAACTTTAAACTGTGTGGACTTCAATTCCCAGAATGCTGAATGGAGAATTCTGGGAGTTGACATTTACGTATCTTAAAAGTTACTGAGGTTGAGAAACACTGGATTAGAGTATAGCATATGCCCCCTCTGCCCTTTGTTTCCCAGCATACACATGCATGTGCTGACACAGCATGAGCAGAAAGCAAAAATGCACACATGCACAGACAAGAAGAAAATATAAACGCCTCCTAAAACCACTGCTAGAGAAGAGGTTGGAGAAAATTCATGACTTGATTTAACGCAGGGGGTAGGCAACCTTGGCTCTTTTATGACTCATGGACTTCAACTCCCAGAATTCCTGAGCCAGCCAAGCTGGCTCAGGAATTCTAAGAGTTGAAGTCCACGAGTCATAAAAGAACCAAGGTTGCCTACCCCTGGTTTAACGGATACCTTTTGGAGCAACTAATTTGTGGCTTTGAGTATTTGCCTTAAAAAATTTCAGAATGCATGCATTTAAACTCATTTCTTGAAATTCAACCTTTAAGAAGCATAATCCCTGTTGATTGATTTAAGATTAATTAATTGGGGTTTTCGAAAATGTTTAATCTGGATTAAAAGTTACTATTTAAAACAAGTGGAACTTCCTCGATCAAGCGGCAAAGCTTTAGTGGTAGAACATTAGTGAACTCTTTTTTTGGTCTCTCATAGAACCCATTGAGCTTTTGCAGAACCCTAAGGTTCCACGTAGCTGTTTGAAAAAATCTTGATTCAGACCACTTTCCCCATCCTGAGTAGTTTCTCATACTATACCCTCTAAAATTTTCACTGGTTCAGGATCCTGCGAGCTACAAAATCAGCATGTCTTTCTAATCAAATAGGATTGGGGCAGATTAAGGGATCCAAGTGCACACAAGCACAGCATATGAGCTATAATATGAAAATGAACACTGGTCTATCCAAGATTTAAATGGATATTTATTTAAGAAACTGGTAATTTAAGAAACTGGTAGTTGTAACATTGGTTTTAGGAAAATATTCTTCTTAGAGTAATTAGCTTTTCATGTCTGCTGTTATACTTACAGGTATTGCTACACCATGCTGCTGGCACGATAAAGCGGGTTTCCATGGAGCTCGGAGGACATGCTCCTTTCATAGTCTTTGACAGTGCTGACGTAGACAAAGCAGTTGCTGGAGCTTTAATTTCTAAATACAGAAATTCAGGGCAGGTGAGCTTGTCTTATTTTGTTTAATCTTGTGAACCTTTTTTCCCCGCTAAGCATGGAGCTACATAAAACCTTGTTAAGTTTTGATTGCTTCTTACATTTGAGGAAAATAGTATCAATAATATTTATTATTTAAATTTGTATGCAATTCACTTAATGGCAACGAGTAAAACTTTTTCACTAGGATCTTAACGGCACAAGTATAATAGGCCAGTATACCTTTGAAGAGTATTCAGAAGCTACAATTAAGTGCAGAATACGGCAACACAGGCATTTCCTTGGGTGGCCCACCGTTCCATGAGCTGCATTGGCCGCTGGTATGCATCCAAGTGCAATTCAAGGTGTTGGCAATCACCTTTAAAGCCCTTCATGGCATGGGTCCAGGCTGCTTGAGCGACCGTCTCGTCCCACTGAGATTGGCCTGCTCCACCCTCGCCAGCGAGGCGGCATGCGGCAGTCCCTGTCAGCCGGAGCATTCCAGCCGGCAGGGTCCAGGAGAAGAGTGTTTTCTGCCATCACGCCTGTCCTTTGGAATATCTTGGCCCCTGGACTGAGGTTGGCTCCAACTCTCCTGATCTTCCATAAGAGCCTAAAGATCTGGGTCTGCCAGTTAGCTTGGGGCTCCAATGGGAGAGTATCACAGTGGAGGCGACTATTGGATTAGGAAAGACACCACCTCTCTCCATGTGTTTTGTGTGCCCCTCTCCTCATCTTTTAACAGTATCTAATACTGTGTTTATTTATTGTTTATTATTTTAATGTGTACTAGTTTTAATGTTTGTAAGCACCCAGAATTGTCTCCGATGAGATGGGTGGGGATATAAATAAAATATAAATTAAATAAATAGCATAGTTTGTTAGGTTTTTACTTTGCATTTCATGTGAACCTAGCTATTGCAGTTGTACTCAGCCTTTGCTTAAATTACTACGGGAGCATTTAACTCCTATAAGAATATTGTCATATCTTCTCCAGTGTGATGAAGACGATGTGGAGGAATGGGCAGTATATACCCAGCAGTTTGTGAGGGGATCTTATATTTTATCAATGAAATAACGTTTAAAAACTGAAAAATCCTTTTGCTTCTTTGTTTGTTGAAAATAATTGTTGCATCAAATTTTGATAATATTCCTATTATCTGCATCTTCTTTGGAGGTTACAGCTTAGAATTGTTAGGGCAAAAATTATTGAGAGCTTGGAATTTGACTTTATGAGAAAAATTGACCCAGACTATTAAGAAATTGGAAGATCTTAATCACCTATATGTGGGGCTGCCGTTTTTGCAATTTTGACATATTTGGCAGAATCCCGGTTGGGAAAGGCTAATCTGTACTGCTATTGAAGCTAAAATATAAGAATGATATGCTGAAATAGCATCTTTTGAATAAGCAGATGAAAGAATTACATAGAAACTTTATGAAAACATGTAAATTGCTATCTGTAAGCTTCTAATTCCCAAGTCGCGTATGCTAACAACCCATAATAATTAAATGGCTTCCATATTTTGGATGAAAGATGAACAAAATAAGAGATACACTAAGGATGAATGGGGAAGAGTTGTATAATTCTAATTTCTAGATATTTCAGCTGTTGTTCACAGAGACCCCGTCCTGCTTACCTTCCAGACCTGTGTATGCGCAAACCGCTTCTTGGTGCAGAAAGGAATCCATGATGAATTTGTCAAGAAGTTTGCCCAAGCCATTGAGAAGGAACTATGTATTGGCCATGGATTTGATGAAGGGACTACCCAAGGGCCATTAATTAATGAAAGAGCAGTAGAAAAAGTAAGAATTATTTATGAAAGAAAAATGGTTAAAATGCGTACCAAAGTCATGTTTATTATTTGCTGTTATACAATAACATTTACTACAACATTTTACTTTGAATTAAGAGCTTGTCCTAAGTTTGATGCATTCTTAGGTTGAAAGTCACATTGATGACGCAGTGTCCCAAGGTGCATCCATAATTACCGGAGGAAAAAGGCACAGTTATGGGAAAAATTTCTTTGAGCCAACTCTGCTTTGCAATGTGTCAACAAATATGTTATGTACACAAGAGGAGACTTTTGGGCCTTTGGCTCCAGTTATCAAGTAAGTCATTAAGCATTTCAAACAGATACTGTAAATGCCGGCATATAAGACGACTTCCGCGAGCGCTGAAATCAGCGCCAAAGACGGTCGTCTTATACGCCGAGTCGTCTTATACGCCGGAAATACTGGTAGTTTCCGGCGTATAAGACGACGTTCTAGGAATGCGGCCCGGCTATAAAGACGGGGGTCATCTTATACGCCGGGTCGCCTAATACGGCGGCATATACAGTAACTATGTAATCATCTCAGATCATTAAATTGCTGTCAGAAATCTTCCTCTATGAATAACAATATGTTGTTAGACTTGTATTCTGCATGCCTCTCCAAGAGTCTGGGCAGCTAACAAGAATAAAAGATTTTGCAATAAAATCAGTGAAACAGTACACTTATTATTTTGCCACAAAACATATTGGAAAGGAAACTGGGTTGTTATTAGCCCATTTTGTGTGCGTATGGGTCTGTGTATTTCTTGAGATAGATATTTTTTCAATCACTTGTTGGCATACTGTTCTTTTCCCTGTCTCACACACATTCTGCCCCCTGCAATCTTTCTGTTATTCTATTATCCTTCCCAACCATTCTGCAATTAAAGATTCTAGAGAAAATGTAATGATTTTGTTAGTTCTGTGATGGTTCAGTTATGGTTACATTTTTTTAGAATCATCACAGCCAGGAAAGGTTGGAAAAATTTGCCTGTGAAGTAAGATTTTGCTGCTCATTCCATTTTTCAAATTTTGTGACCAGATGAAAGGGAAGGAAAAGCATCTTGCATTAATGAATGTTGCTGGGATACTTTTCTGAAGATGTTCATGTGTTGCTATTTCTTCTCTCTTTCATAGAGGAATTCTGCATATAAATGTACCACATCAGAGCTGTCATTTGTTTAACTATCTTTAAATGACTATGAGACGAAGGTATCTCTGTGTACTTTCTTGGGTAGGCCTAGATCTTTTCCCCTAGCCAGAGATCTTCAAGATTTTCAGATCTTTTCCAAAATAAACAAGTTCATCTAAATGTATGCTTTTCCAAATTATCTTATAGGGAAATGTAGAAGTTTCTATTACGCAACGGTATAAGAATATCACAATGTGCTTCTTTACTTTAGGATAAATTATTTTTTCACCCAATGATGTCATATTTCCACTTTTTCAGATTTGATACAGAGGAGGAAGCACTCGCCATTGCAAATTCAGCCAATGTGGGTTTAGCAGGTATGTGCTTTTAAATAGTTAGTAGGGTAGAAAAAATTGATATGCTCAAGGAAGTCAAGATGATACATACTCATACATACTTTGACTAGCATCTCTGAGGTTGTAGCTAACTGAATTCCCAAACATGAGAAAAATGCAGACTACTAGTAGAGCTGGTGTGAAATAAAGGTAGTCCTTGACTTACTATTTGGCAGTGCAGCGGCTCAGTGGTTAAGACGCTGGGCTTGTCGGCTGGAAAGTCAGCGGCTCAGGTTCAAAACCTGAGCACCACATGACAGGGTGGGCTCCCACCCCTAGCTCCTACCAACCTAGCAGTTTGAAAGCATGCAAATGCAAGTAGATAAATAGGTACCACTTTGGTGGGGAGGTATAACAGCACTCTGTGATGTCATGCTGGCCACATGACCATGGAAATGTCTTCAGATAGCGCTGCCTCAATGGCCTTGAAATGGGGGATGAGCACCACCCCTTATAGTCATCAAGGACTAGCAGAGTAAAATCCACAGAGAGTTGTTAACCTTTTCCTTTGACTTACTACCATAATTAAGTCATAAGTAATGCCAAGTCATGACTGCACCTGATTTTCCAAACTTTTCTGCAATGAATACAACAGTCATGAAGCAAGGGGGGGGAGGGGTTTCTGGCAAAAAAGCCATAAATTGCAGTCACATGACCATGGAACACGTCAGCCAGCTGTAAATGCAGGCTGATTGCTAAGCACCCAAAATCTGAAGGGGGCCATCAGAACAGACCGACCAAATCTGAGTTGTAAGTACCTTTTGGGAAGGGGGGGGTCCATTGTGGCTTTGAATGGTCGCCAAGTGAATGGTCCTAACCTTTAATTCCGTTACATTGCAAATAATTGGACTTTTCTTGTTTCTTGTGAAAAAAAAAAAAAAGAGGAAGGACAGCAATGGTACTTTAGTCTTTCTATTCTTCAGCAGGAGTTTGGAACATATGAGAGCCTTCCTGGTTGTCACTAGGATTTATTTGGCCTTTTTGTGTTTGTGTTTTAGTAAAGCTTTCAAATGCATTGGGCATTATAGTTACTTTCTGTGCCTTTACTCACACTTGCAGGCTATTTCTATTCTCAAGACCCAGGCCAGATTTGGAGAGTAGCTGAGAAGCTGGAAGTTGGAATGGTCGGCGTTAACGAAGGGATTATATCTTCTGTGGAGTGTCCATTTGGTGGGGTCAAACAATCCGGGCTAGGAAGAGAAGGTTCTAAATACGGTATTGATGAGTACTTAGAAATAAAATATGTTTGTTTGGGAGGTTTACAATAGCCGTTGTTAGCACAATAGACAAACTAGGACTATAGTTTTGGCCTTTCGTTGGCTTTCCTTAGCAAGCTAACTTGGATTTTTTTTTTCGCTTTTCCTAAAATAACTGTGATCAGGTTTACGTGTAGCAATGTCTGTACTTGAAATTATGTCAGTACATATAAAACAGTTCTTCATATTTACATTGTGATCACAAATGTTAGTATTATCTATCTTGGTCCTAATGTGGAAACAAATCCTAAGTGCTGTTGACCTTTGGAAGAATTTGGAAGACCGTATTAATATTTTTGGAACAAATAGGGCAGCATTGCTACTAATTTTTTCTCATATGTGCAGTGCTTTTTTTCAAAAAAAAAAAAAAAAAAAAAGGTGCCGAAACTCACACACGTCATACAACCCGCCTTGTCTACCCTATAAGGTTCCATCCAAAAATGGTGGCGGAACTCCATTCTGGACGTTCTATAAGAAAAAAAGCACTGCACATGTGGAGGGTTATAAAAATGACGGAATCTTAAATAGTTGTGCCAAATTTTGAATTTTACTCTTTTTCTAATACTTTTTTTTTTTAATTAATTGGGTAAAAATCCAGTTTTTATACCAATAGTTGTTCTTCAGCTATCGTCTGAAATATAGGTTTCCTGGTGGATATATATTCATTTCTAATATCCTATTCATCAATAGGACTAGGCTTATTTAAGAATTGATTTGCAATTTGTAGCCTGTGGTTAAGCACAGATTGATGGGCAGTAATCATTCCTGCCAAACTATAATGTATACAGTCTTCAGAGACTCTTGATTTGGCAGAAAAGTGGAATCCTTATAGATTTTATGAGACAGTGTAAGAAAGCCAAATTATAACAATAAATATTAATATACATAATAGATTCATTCAGACCCTGCTTGGGACCAGTAGCTATATAAATAGTTAGATTTCATTGATACATGTTCATAAGCTCATTTTTAAAAAAATAAAAATTGATCCATGGGGCTGCTATAGGAAACTTGTCAGTGCTCTATGGATGAATTGTTTGGTTCCTGCAGAATTAACTTGAATGGTTTATTATTCTCTTTGTAATAAATACTGATTATTTTTTAAATGAGATGGGAAAATTTGGATGGCCCTGACATAGTGCTGCATTAAACTGAATGTGCACTTTATATGTCCAAATTGCATTGAAATGTTGTATTACTTTTTTGTTCCATGTTTTTGGGGGAGGCAGTTAAGGTCTCCTTGGGCCTTAAACCCCTCTGCTGTATAACGTCTGCTTCTGAGAATCAACCCTTGGTTTCAGAAGCGCTCTGCATAGTCTCCTGAACAGCATGAAGTTCAATTATACAGAGTACTTGTTTTAAATCAGCTGTCATTACTGTGCGTTATTTTTTTCTTAACAACTTGAAAAATTCAGGTTCTGGCAGTTCCCAAAAGTACCATTTGTAACATTCTTACTCTTTCTTTAAAAAAGAGTAGAAGCCAAATATGCTTGATACATAATATTAGCAAATGGAATATTTCATAAATAAAATATTGTGCCATTTAGGGGTATGAAAGACATTTCAAACTGTTTGATTATAGCACAAATGAATACTGTAACGATCTATTATATATTTTAATTTCAGGGAAAATACTATACAGTATATGTTTACATTCATATAAGGGAACATCTGAATTAAGGTTTTTTTTTATTACATGATCAACTTTTTTTTTACATTGTTTACCAGATATGAAGGTTAACAACGAATTGCTAATGTAATAAAAATTGGACAGTTACATTTATTGTCAAAGTTGATTTGCAATACTATTTCTTCTCTGTCATGTTCTCATAGACTACAGAGAAAAAACTGGGAGGGGGGGAAACGACACACTTTATTAGAACAAATGTTGATGGTAAAATAGTTTCCCTAAGCCTTCTACTTGAACAAAGTTAGTAGATGTGAAAGCTCCTATAGCTGATCTAGATTTTGAGGAAATTGAGGTTACACATAACATCTGTGATCACTTAATTGTGTAAATAGCTTGATCTCCTTTTTTTTTTGCTTGAGATGTGTGTGGTTTTATTGGCCAATAGATGCATTTAAGATTCTTTTCCATTCATCATTGTTCATATCCAATAAAACATCTAATTTGTAATCTTATTTATGTACAGAATGTACATGCATATACATCCACTATTGGGTTCATATATAATCATCCTATTTATGTCCTGCAAAATAATTTCACACACATTTAGATTAGTTTAGATGACACGATAAGAAATTATTCAACAGCTAATTCAAAATTTTAAAAGTTTGAGCTTTTTTATGATAACCACTAAGGAAAATACTAGATTATTATCCCAACTAAATTTTACTGAGCCTCTAGGTAGAATAAAGTGCAGGTCTGAGTAACAGCTCTCATCCAAGTTATCCTGGAAAGATCCTTGTATGAAGTGGTACTTATTTTTCTGAACAGCCAAAGCAATCTTTAATCCTAGATCTAGCTTTCTAGAAGAGGATCCTGAAGATGGGAGACAGTTGAGAGGATTATGCCACACATAGCTTGCCACGAGTTTTCCAATTGCTGCATCCAACAGGAAGAAAAGCAAGCCTTGTGCTCACTCCCACACAGATTGGCAAAAAGCAAGGTTTTGCACGGAGTCAGTTTTTATTCCCTCCAAAACATATTCATATCTGAACATATGTTCCTTCCATATATTCACCTTATATTGCACTATTACTGCTAATCAGTAGTTGTATGTTTTATGACTCATCCTGTCATAAAGCTAAACACGATTTATGTTTAACAGCATGATATTCTCAAAGCAGAGTTTAGCAGATATTTAACTTGATCCCTATTCATCCCCACACTCATACACTCTCATTTATTTAGCAAATGAAAGTTAAGAGAACTGTTTTGTCTACATGTCAGTTTTAATAACTCTGATAAGTTTTCATATTGATAGAAGTGGCTTCCTATACAGACAAGTTCACTCTGTTCTAAGAAGACTAATATAAGGAGGTTTTCCTCTATGATCTTGTAACGTAAAAGCCTTGGTTGAGATTTTAATAGTGATTTTTTAGAAGTCCATAAGACATGAGGTAAATGCCATCTCTGATAAACAGGCTTTAAACAACGTGGCTTTAAAAGACTGCTTGAAAAAAAGGCAAAATATCGATGGTATTCCCCTCTCCTTTGCCATGCTGGAAATTTATGAGTCTGTTTGCCTCTTTGGTACTTTAGGAAAATAGAGAGCTGTCCAGGCTTCACTGCCCTGAAGTAACCGTTTTCCTAAGAAAGCCGTGCATCCATTTATCTATCCTTTGAGCTGTAGCTGAAGGAGATCCCATTTTTCATGTCACTATTCATCATGTTTTTGGAGTTTTCCCTTTCAACCTTCTCTCTGCTAAATATGGTATCTTGGTCGCTCTCAAACTCAGACTCTGAAACCATCAAACTGGAATTATGTTCAGTACTTCTGTGCTTGATACCTGTGTGGAAGGAAAGCATGAGGATTAGGTTGCACTGCGGTCCTCTTAGGAAATCCTTCTAACTACATCAGTGTTTCTCAACCTTGACAATTTTAAGGCATGTGGACTTCCACAGCCAGCATTGCTGGCTGTGGAATTCTGGGAGTTGAAGTCCACATGCCTTAAAATTGTCAAGGTTGAGAAACACTGAACTACATAATGTTCAACTAGTCTTTCGTGTTTTATTTTAATTGTAATTGGTTGGTTGAATTCATAGACTGACCCAAAATAAAACCATTGCATTAATGGCAAAATTAATTAACTACAGTCAAAAGGAACTGTAGGAACAGTTAAATTGAAACATCTTGTTCAAGTTTTCCCAACCTTGGCAACTTTAACATGTGTGGACTTCAATTCCCAGAGTTCCCCAGCCAGCATGGTTGGCTGAGGAATTCTGGGAACTGAAGTCCACGCATCTTAAAGTTGCCATGGTTGGGAAACCCTGATCTTATTTCTACTTCAGTGCAAAGAGATTCAAAGTGACTGAAATAAATTTATAAAATCAGTGTTTTTTTTCACAGTGATTATCTGTGAACAATGCTAAAGATCTTTATAGTTTTATAATATTACTAATTTGTTATGGTATGAAGTTTTATTACCAGCTTGTTCCATCAGAGGCAAATCTCCCCTCAACTGTAAAATCATAATCCATTCATTCAGTTTAGAATGAAAGAAATAATAAAGGAATGTCATACCGTATTTGGGCCTGAGCTCCATTCTTTCCTGATCATCTATGTTGTCCAAAATTGTATATTTCATTTTCTTTCTTATTTTGGTCCTCTTTTGGCTATGAATTAAAGAGTATTAATTAGGTTCTTGGAAACCAACTTCCTAACGATGCATACCTTTACCCACAAGCCTCATTCATAAACTGCTATTCATGTCTTTTGGCAAGTGCAGCTGCCCTACAGGTGTGACCATACCCAGTATAATCCTATGCCCATTTACAAATTACCAAGTCTATATGGATGTCTTGAGTGTAGTTAAAGGCACTTTGGATAGTCACAGCCCAAAAGGATTGGGTTCACCCTGTTCACAGACATAAAACTAGTTTAATTGGCTGTGGCTCTTTATGAAAGCAGGCAATGTATTTATAAAGCATGGTTGATAATAGTGTTTTACATTTAAAAGCTTAGGTAAATCATACTATAGCTTCATGTAATATGTTATCCAGCTAGACAGCTTATTACACATTTTGCCCATTCTACTGTGTTATGAGTAATCACAAATATAGGGGGAGAGCTTATTTTTAAATTGTCTCATCAGATTCTTCAAGATATGATGGAACTAACTGGCCAGGATGCCTAGGAATTCTGGGAGTATTAAACAGCACATCTGTTTAATAACTTCATTAACTTTCCAAATCCATGGAATTATTAAGAGCAAGTAGTTCTGTCCTTTTAAAACATCTTTATAATTAAATATGACCGTCTAACGTATGCTAGTGAGCATCACAAACCAAAGATGAGTAACCTACAGTCTAAACTTGCAATTTTTAGGGGGGGGGGAAGTGGCCCCAAAGCTTGTCATCATTACATTCCTACAAATCAGTAGCAAATTATCAGACATAACAATGTTAATTTCACACCAGTCTCAAACTGCTGTAAGCTTTGGATAGATTTAGTGCTACTTGAGATACTATTTACTACAAAAAAAAACAACAACAGAAAATCAGGGCCACCATTTGCATGACATTTTATCACACTGGCAGCTACTAATGTTTATTTTTTAAAAAAACAACAACAACAATACTTTGACTTTCCTCATCCCTGGTTTAAACTGAATAGAGGACTATTACCTTTTGCAACAGCAGATGCAAAGCCAAATTAACCCTACCACCAATGCAATTACGAGGAAAGCGGATGCTGATACGTAGAGTATACTCCATTCTAGAAGACAAAATTGGAACATTTGAAGTTAGAATCAAAGGACCTATTTAGGTAGGGTCTACCTAATCTACAAGGAGAGGCAAGGCAGGGCACGTATAAAATGCATTTCATTTATTAAACAAATACATTATAGCTGCCCATCCACCAAAAAGAACTCCACATTATGTCACTATGATGCAAATCCCAGGACTTACTTGCATCTAATGTTGGGATATAAATATGAAAAATGGGTTGGGAGGGTTGAGGTCATCTAATTCAAGGGCAGGAATCCACATACTACCCTTGACAAATTGTTGGTTTAATAGACTTCATTACCACAGTACATGTCTTTCTTCTACAGTGCATTATCAATATTAAAATAATATCTTAACAGACATGGGCTATTACTGGGAAACATATTATCCCAACTCACCACAATTGCTCTCCCCATCGCTTAGGTATCGCTGTATCAAATTTTCCATCCACATTTGATAGCAAATACAATGCTTTGTGATGGGGTCACAGTTTCCATGTCCGGAACATTTTAAGAGGCAAGCTGGAAATCACAAAGCAACTGAAATTATTTACGTAGTTAAAATTAACACTGGGCTACTTTTAAGAGTGAAAACTACCCCTTGATATATATTTTTTCCTGCCCTGGACAAGGGCATTCAAATACATACCAGCTGTGTCAACACGAAGCACTTTAAAAAGTAGAAAATTTGGCTTTTCCTTCAAGAGTTGCAAACGCAGCACTTGGGCAACATCTGAAGCCTTTATGATTTTGTAGGGATGCCCATTCTGAACATAGAACACAACAGCAGTGCTGAAAGGAAGATGCATAGATTAAACAACAATAGATTTATTACAGCAATCAGAAATCTTTCTTTAGGATTAGCACCACCTATCCCAATTATGATTCTTTCTTCCTAGAATAACCCTGTAATTGTAAACATATAATTGGCTGTCAAGCACTAGGGCAATCAGGAGATCTAGGCTGTTCAAATGGGTATCAAGTTTTATTGCAAGCTTAAGCTCTCTACAAGAATCTGAATTACCAATGGCCAAAGGAAATTGGCCGTAAATAAGGATTCAAGATGGGCTGGACTCAGATCTCTTGTGGGGGCAAAGGGACTCATGACTGATGACACATCTGACCACTCCCTCAAGCTCAGTCTAGTCATCTCCTACAATGGCTGCTGGTAAAGTTGCGAAGTTTCTGTCCCATGAAATAAAATATGAAAAATGAGACATTGCAAAGTATAAAGTTTCAGAACCACAGGATTTTATTTATATATAAAATTATATATAAAATTATTTGTATATGAATAATTAATTAAGGTTTAATGCCCAATCTTAATGTCTACTATGAATAAGTTCAATGGGACTAATATCCAAGTAGATGTGTACAAAATAATAATAATTTCTCTCTCTCTCTCTCTCTCTCTCTGTGTGTGTGTGTGTGTGTGTGTATGGGTGTGTCTAAAAACTATTTTTTTCCTATCTCCTTGTACCTGATATCAGAATAAGCATGTATTTTCCGGATATTAATGTCTGTTTGTAAGACATCCAGGAGCACTGCTAGCTGTTGTATGAGGGTATCTTTCTGTTGTTCAGTTAGTTGACCAATTTCAACTTGCAAGATCAATTCCACAAGCCCATTTTTCTTTGGGTCTGTAAATGAAAAAAAAAAGCTTTTCCTGAGAGCCTGTCACATAATGCCTAACTACATGACAGTAACATTTGGAGGTAACACCAAGCTAACCTTAGTTGGATACTTAAATGAGAAAATGCCAGGAAATTCCAAGGTTTCAAGCTAGGAAATTAAAAAAAAAAATAACTTGAAGATGGCAAATACTTCCATACTGTTGAAATGCTCATAAGTCAACAAAAGTTCAAAGCATCTGACTGGATGATGCTTCTGATTTACTTTAAGCATGTGCTATGAACTGAAATGGAAAGTTTGAAAAGCTACCCTAAAACCTCTGCATCAAAAGAAAATCAGACCCAAGACCTGATCATCTGGATTGGAAAGATCTTCAACTATTTTACCAAAGAAAAGGAATTTGGGAATAATGCAATAAAATAGCTTAGGTGTCTATGGAGATTCTCAGTCTTCCAGCTTATAGTTATCCCAAAGGTGCTTCTTTCCTGAGGCAATGAGGTTTTCTTCTTTTTCTTTGAAGAGCTTCTTCTCAGCCAAGAAGCTTCTTCAGCTCTGAAGCTTCTTGGATTGGAACTGAAACGTCTTCAAAGAAAAACAAGAAAGTCCTGCTGCCTTGGGAAAAAACACCTTTGGGAAAAATAGCTTAGGCTATATAAATGTCTTAGAAAACAGCTTACCAGGCCATACTTCCACAATAGCCGTGTCAATATCTGACTCTCCTTTGGCATCAGTGACTTTCAAGTGAAACATGTAGTTCCCCTCTACAAGATTAGTTAGCTGTAGGACAGCCTCACGGTTGGAGCCAAGAATTGCATCCTGCAAAAGCAAAGAAATTGGCACTCAAAAGACCACTTTCAAATATATTCTTCTCTGAAGCCAATTATTTGATGTCTCTGTTCCCAGGCCCATCTCTCAAAAGCTTGTTGCCTGATCAAACAGCAGTTATCCTCACCCACATTCAGATTCACACCAACCAAGATTCACTGTGCCCCCAGTTAACTGAGTTACTAGGACATGCTAGGCATAAAGTCCCACAAGTCTCTCTCTCTCTCTCTCTCTCTCTCTCTCTCTCTCTCTCTCTCTCTCTCTCTCTCTCCCTCCCTCCCTCCCTCTCTCTCTCTCTCTGCAACTGGCAGTGACAGCCAGCCTGAATGTCATAAAATTGGTCTAGGACCTAGTGGTAGTCCTCGACTTACAACAGTTCATTTAGTGACCGTTTGAAATTACAGTGACACTGAAATAGTGACTTAGGGCTGTTCTTCAGACTTACAACCATTGCAGCATCCCCACGGTAACATGATCTAAATTCAGATGCTTGACAACTGGCTCATATTTATGGCAGTTGCAGTGTCCTGAGGTCATGTACAACTGCGGTGCTTCGTTTAACAACTGTGGCAAGAAAGATCATAAAGTGGGGCAAAAACTCACTTAACAACTGTCTTACTTAGTAACAGAAATTTTAGGCTCAATTGTGCTGGTAAGTCAAAGACTACCTGTACTGGCTAACAGGTACACCATGAAGTATGCACCCTCAAAACCATGAATCTTGTCTTTACTCCTGTTTTCAAAACAGAAGCATCTCCAGCTGATTTGCCTGAAGCTGTTCCATCCCAATTTAGTTAAATTCTCAATTTGATGGCTCATATTAGCGTCTATAAGCAGTAAACAGATAGCCTGATAAAAATAAACACAGAAAAATATTCCATTTGGTCCAATTAGATACTTTAAATACTTACTCCAGCTGCTGGACTCTGACCATCCCGGATCCAAAGATAAGATACAATTCCTTGGTCATCGACAGAGTGGGACCCATCCAAAGCAATAGAGTTATTGGGGAGGATAAGGATATGTTTGCCCCCTGCAAGGGCCTTTGGTGGAGAGTTGCTGCCTAAATACAACAAAGGGAAAAATTTGTTCAAACAAGAAAAGAGGATGATAATACAGACATAGCCCAAAGGTAAAGCTTGTATTAAGAAGATTCTAAGAATGCCAGATAATTGAATTTAAATGCTGAAGTGATGGATCAAAACAGCCCCAACCATTTAGCAAGCCCCAAATTGCTTATCCATGGTTAGACAATTGGATCAGGACTGGAAAGATTAAAATGGAAGCCCTGAATATCTAAAATATAGGAGAAAAATAGAAACATATAGTCGGGAAATGTCTTCAAAAACGTGGGACAGAAAATCTTACCCTCCCGAACAACCACAGAAAGTGTGGCAGTGCTGCTCAGCCCTTGATCATCTTTGACTGTCAGTCTGAAATGATAGGTTCCAATCTGTAGATCTGAGACAGTTGCCACTGCGCTATCAGCATTCTCCATATGCAAAGAACTTGGCCCACTGTGGCAAAACAAAGTAACCCATAATGCTGGATCCAATTTCAGCTCAAAATTTAAAAGCATTATCGCAAGCAAGGAAATCAACCCTGACTGTTCTTTGGAAGCCGAAGCTAAAATACTTTGGCCGCATAATGAGAAGAGAGGACTCATTGGAAAAGTCCCTGAGGTTGGGAAAGATTGAAGACAAAAGGAGAAAAGAGGACAGCAGAGGAAGAGATGGTTGGATAGTGTCATTGATGGAATGAACGTGAGTGCGATGTCGCCTGGAGGCGGGGAGGGCGGGGAGGGCGGTCGCTAGGCGTTGTGAGGGGCCGGTTGCTAAGGGGAGCACATGATGGGATGTTGGAGAGTCCGGTCACCTTGAAGGAAGTTGCTGAGTGGACACCGCGGCCGTGGGAATGGTGACGGGAGAGGGCAGGAAATAGTTGGGCTGGCCGGGGGGCAGGAGTTAGACCCCCCCCTTATAAAGCAGGGGGACAGAGGTCCTGGCTGGCAGCAAACGGGCAGAAAAGGAAAAGTTCCTACTGGCCATGATTACTGTAATATATTAATTACTAATTGGAACAATACATAGGGCAACCATTTGTCTGAAATGGTAATAGGGTCTCTTATTCTATGATTCTGTAAGGGTCTCCTGCTTGAGCTAGAAGACCTCTGAAGTCCCTTCCAACTCTGTTATTGTATGAATTTGGGCAAACTCTGGGAAACAATGGAGGACAGGGATCCTGGCATAGGATCATGAAGAGTCAGATGTGACTTAGCAAATAAACAACTATTAAAAAATTATTGCAAGCTGCTGGGGCATCCCAGATGACTGAAGTGTCAAGTATTTTAGTCCTTGGTTTTAGTTTTGTTTGTATGATTTTAGAGTTTTATGGTTTGTAGTTTTATTACTGCTGTGAGCTGCCCAGAGGTTTGTTTTAAGATGGGTGTACATGCATTAAATTTGCTCCATGTAGTTATTTATTAAATGAATAACTACATGGAGCAAATCTCAACAACAATGGCATCCAGTGCTCTGATTCTTCAAGAGGCAAACTTAATTCATCACAGTCATTCTCAAAATGGCTAAACAGGAAAAGTTGAGTTTGAGTCAATAATCCCAGCATTAATTATAAGGGAGGAAGCCTCAACGTGTTTCTAAGTAAGCAAACCCAAATTCAGGTTGCAAATATTCTAGTTACATGATTTGCCACTAGTTCAGTTACATGTCATCATAGCAAAGGTAATGAACGTATCTTCTCTTGCTAAACTTTGTTCAAAAGGAGAGAATTCTGGAAATTAAAATGGCTTTGTAAACACTATTTTGAACAAATACTTGGTGAACTAATTATTTAAGAGATTCATCAAAAAACTGTAATCCTAGGACAGGGGTAGGCAACCTTGGCTCTTTTATGACTCGTGGACTTCAACTCCCAGAATTCCTGTGCCTGCTCATATTACTTTATAAATAACTCAAGCTGATAAGTATGCACACAGAAATATGCCTTCCTCTTCCTATTTTCCCCAAACAATAACCTTGTAAAATGAGTTGGACTGAGAGAGAATGATTGGATCGAAATCACCCAGGTGGCTTTCTTGCCTCAGGCAGGATTAGAACTCAGAGTCTCCTGGTTTCTAATCTAGTACCTTAATCACTACACTGGTGATCCTTGACTTACAACCACAACTGAGCCCAAAATTTCTTTTGCTAAGCAAGACAGTTGTGAAGTGAGTTTTGCCCTATTTTACGACCTTTCTTGTCACAGTTGTTAAGTGGATCTCTGCAGTTGGTAAGTTAGTAATAGGGTTGTTAAGTGAATCTGGTTTCCCCATTGACTTTGCTTGTCAGAAGGTAGCAAAAGGGGAACCTGGGACACTGCAACCATCATAAATGCATGTCAGTTGGCAAGCGTCCAAATTTGAATCACATAATCGTGGGGATGCTGCAATGGTCGTGTCACTGCACAAATGGTTGTAAGTCAAGGATTACCTGTACATCTATTACGACACCTTCCCTGACTTTGTCAACGTAACCAAGTTAACGGGCAAGTATTAATATAAAGTGTAGCATGTTTGGCACCTACTTCACCATGAACTGCTCTGGAAACGTTATTTTTTCCAAGAGGTCACAATTCTGTAGGAAACAGCATTGATAATGTTTCAAACTAGAAATAGGCGATTAAGAACGATTAAGATTTCCTATTCAAATCATACAATCAGCAGGATTTAAATACAGGCATCTATAACATGGGTCAACGAAGTTAAGGTGGTGGCTATAATTACATAGGCAAAGCTGCCATCCTGACTATTACGTAACCTTCCCCCGGACACTCTGTGTCACCCCACATGAAATATTTGTTTACTTTAGCTTTCCACTCCTTCCTTAAACTTTTTCAGTCCAGGGTCACCCATGCCTTGGAGTACATCTTCTCGCCATACAAAATACCTGATATTCTCCCAGTGATAGTAAACAATCCCTAAGTCATCAGTGCTCATGCTCCCATCGAGATTAGTGCTCCGGATAGGAAAGGTCAACATTTTATCAGGGCCAGTCATGGCTGCTGGAGGCTTGTTTTGCCCTGTAACAAAGTCAAAAACAATACAATCCAAATGTTCTTTCTATATATGTATTAATGAGATCTATTTCCTCCTCTTTAAGGAATTACCGGAACTTTAACATCAGTAAAGAGAACAGAAAGGGTTAGGTTTGGGATTAGAGTTAGGGGTAAGGGTTAGGTTAGGATTAGGCTTAAGGTTTGGGGCTAGGGTTAGGATTAGGATTGGGGTTAGGATTAGGGTTAGGGGTAAGGGTTAGGTTAGGATTAGGCTTATGATTTGGGGAATAGAGTTAGAATTGGGATTAGGGTTAGAGTTGGGGTTAGATCAAGGCTAGGATTGAAGTTGGGATTACGGGTTGGGGTTAGGATTAGGGAGGATGGTTAGATTCTTTTATATTCTTTCCTTATTGCCTTCTTCTACAAAATTCTTTTACTTCTACAAAAATTCCAATGGAAAAATAGACTCCAGAAAATTGATCCCATGTAATTTAACCTTAACCCTTGACGGGAATCATTCTTGCTGACAGATTCAGCCCATAGGCTTTCCTATATTTATAGAACTAAAGGTAGAAAGCATACAGGTTAGATGCAGGTGTCTTTAAACACTAACAAGTATTTCTAGAGTAGGCCTCCACGGTACATAGCTTGCAACTGACCTGGTGCAACCTACCACACAACAGTGCCTCTATGGTATCTCTCTGGTCTTGGCCAGGACCAGAGAAGATGAACCAAATGTCTTCATGGAAACTAATAAGGAGCTCAAGTATACATCCTATCCTTGCCTAGTGCCAGAGGATCTTTCATGTGAAATTCCACTGTGATAAATCATGCCGCTGCCATTGTACAGTGACAAAACTAAAAGAGAAATAGCTACCCAATCAGATCCCTTCTTAACTGTGGCCATCAAAATACCTGCATAACAGCAGTACTTAGGCTGCTTTGCAAGCAGGTTATGTACCGTAGCTAAAACTCAAGAACTTGAACATACAATTAAAATATCTTATTCTGGACCTCTAGACATGCCGTCTGCTGAAATCAGTTCCTGCACGAGTTCCTGAGAAGATGGGGTATATATAGAGTACAAATCTATCTGGGGATGTTGAAGAGGAAATGTATCAAGGTCATCTTCCTTCCCCAAGCTGTCTCTGCCTTCAGAGGCATTAACTGAGGAGAGGATCTTTAAAATTAGGGTGACCACTTCTGGGAATACTTACAATTCCTTTCTTTTAATTTCTACTTCTGTTGCTTTATTATTTGTGTGCCTGTGGGAACATTCAAATGAGAACAATATATTGAAGGATAACCATCTTTCCCCAACGTATGCTATGCCGCAATTCCCAGCATCCCTAACCAGCATAGCCATGAAGGTTTGTAAATCCAATCTATCTGGGCAGCCGGAGATTGGTGAAGGTTGACGTGCGTGTTTCTTTTTAAAAAAATGGTACATAGATTGCTCAATAAGCAATTCTGGTTTCATGTCTATTTTTATATGTCTAGCTCATTTCTTAACCAACCTGCTTATAGACAATGTAAACATTCCAACATAAAAGAAACATCTCCTTATAGAGAGAGATTGGCAGGAAAGATGTAAGCAAATTGAAGAAGCTGAATATTAAGAAATAAACAAAGAAAGTAAGGAATCACCTCCTCACCTTGAAAATGATTTCTACCCCCTTCAATTATGGAAGAAGATAGCAGAAGCGACAACAGTGATCTCTTCCCCAATTCCATTCATGATTCTCTTACCCTATGCTGCTTTATGGCTGAAATAAAGACTTGATTTAATTTTCCTACACTGCTGGGTTTTTTATCCAGAGCAGTGGAGGGAGCGGCCCTTCTAATTCAAGAGTCCTGTGCCTGACTCCATCCTTCCAAGCCATATTTTTTCAGGGTTTCTCCCACAAGGCAGTTATATTGCTCCCATATAGGAGACTTGCTATATGCGTTCCATTCCCATGGTCCAATTTCTATTCAGTGCAGGTACCTATAATGGACACTGCAAAGCAGGCCACTGTTCTCTCCTACTTTTAACATCAAAGTCAGATGCATCAGCTCACGAGCCCAGATGTTCTACTATGTCAGGCAGCTATATGATGCCCTACCAGGCCAGACTGTTACTGTGACTTCAGCTGTTGACTTCTGATTTGCCAAATCCGTTACTGTCAGCTGGAACTTATATTCTCCCTCTTGCATTGAAGACAGTTGAAGATATGGACTCCTTACACCCTAGAAAATCACACAGAGAACACAAATTAGAGGTGAGGGGGAAAAAGTGCAATATGTGTGCTCTTCCATGTGAAATATTTGCTGTTGATCTCCATGTAAGTACTGATACAGAGTGTACACGTTGCATTAACCATCCTGTGGCTTGTTTAATTCTGGCCTAGGATAGTGTAAGAATACAGTCATTGTGTTTTATAAAGTAGGATTTATGATTTGGAAGGTTGACTGAATACAGCACATTATGCTTTGTCCAATCAATTATGGCTTACTATGCATGAAACCCAACACACTCTTATAACTTATAACACAGTTACCTTTCAAATAAATTAAAATGGGCATCAAAACTAAAAGCACAACATGTTTCACGTATAATAGTCAAATAAATTTTAGAGTGCTCTGTGCAATTTGCTGCTTAATACTTGACTGGCAATTTATGGTTAAGGCATGTCCATTAGCCTTACTCAAGTAGAAGAGTTATAACATTCTCTGCCATGTTAATACAACTTAACCTTTCGTGGCTGGTAATGCACTCGTAAGTCATGTAATGCCACTCAGGAACTACCGGTAATACCCAAAGGATACATATGCAGCCCTACCCAAAGGAATTGGAAATGCAGGCAAGTTTAATTACATCCTTATTTCTTTTACAGACTTAGTTCATCTATATTCTATATTTATTCTATAGAATATAGAATATTCTATATTTCTTCTGTTATGTATCTCAAGGCAATATATGTGGGTTTTCCAGGGAAGCTCCTATCCAAACATTGTTCAGACCCAAACTTGCTTAGCTTCAGCAAGACTAATTATTCTATGCTTTTAGGTAATACCCTGTTTTTAATTCACATTTTCACAAAACTTCAAGTTCTACAAATCAGAAGGAATCTCCTTTGTAAAACTTAAAAGTTAAAATGTATTTAGATAGTCAACATAGGACCAGGCACCAATGCAAGCATCTCAATCAATTTCAGGGCTTTTGGCTTGTTTTCAGAAGCACCACAAATTCCTTTTCAAACTAGTTTCAGATATAACACAAACAGTATGGCATAAAGCAAGATGTCCTTCAGTTACCTGCATGGCTACCACTGTGCTTTTACTTTTGGGACTCAGGGACCACTCATAGCTGACAATTTTTTGATCATCCTTACTCTGGTTTCCATTTAATGTGACTGAATTTTGAGGCAAACTAATTTCCTGATCTGGTCCAGCATTGGCAACAGGAGGAGAATCCAACAGTTTGTTGACTCTCAAGGAAGCTATTGTGGAGTTAACTGCTCCATCAGAATCAGTGACAATTAGCCTGAACAACAAAAACAAAAAAAAATAATATGTGAAGAAAAAGTGTGCCATTATCCTAATCACATCTCCAAGCTATGTATGCAAGCTATAATTCCATGCATATTTAACTGGGAGAAAATTCGATCAAATTCATGGTACTGCATGATATTCAGTTTTGACTGCTGGATGTGATCTGGTCCTTTGACCAATTTCAGCTGAGCCTACTACATCTCCTTCTGATCTAATACATTTGAATCAAAATATATATTGACACAATATTATGTTCATAACCACAATTACAAGAATAAGAAATTAAGCTTTTGTATTTATTTTATGGTAAAATCTCAGACACATCTGAGAAAAGACAAATGCTAGTTCTCTCAACCTGCCTCTGAAGCTATAAAGTCAGAGATTCAAACTACACCAGAATTGAATAAGGCTAAGGAAGTAAACTCCAACCTTACTCACTTGGTTTTATTCCAAAGAATTTCTTCTAGAGCAGTCTGAGAGAAGAATGAAAAATCATAAAAATGTCTCCACTAATGATCTTCTACTCAATCCTTTTGCTTTCCATGAATAGAAGGAACTCTTTCACTGATGGAAAGGCCAATCTGGATCTAACCCTAAATATAAACAATTTGAGTAATTTCTCTAAACGCAGAAGTAAGGATTCCTTGGCTTAGTTTGTATTTTGTTGGGAAAGCAATAATTAGAATCACTCACCTGAAAGTATAATTGCCAGGAATAAGATTAGAAAGGTATAAAAGAGGTGTATCAGCTGATGCCTTCTTTTCCCACAAGGGACCCTCAATTTCTTCCCAGTGGTAACTCACAATTTTAATATCATCTACACTTTCTGTGTTTGAGGAAAATATCAGAGCCGTAGGTCAATAAGCAAATATCTCAGTAAGTACTTATTAATACACTATGCTATGATTTTTTTTTTTAATCTGTTCATGTGCTAGATTCATAAAAAGTACTTTCTCCCCAATTTTTCTTCATAACAAGAGCAACCTTGTGAAGTAGTTTGGGCTGAGAAATAGCACCAGGTCCAAAGCCATCCAGAGAGAACTTTTTAATCATGGTTTCTGTATTTCCATGATTTAGAAATCCCCTCCCCTCAATGACTAATTATATTGGTTCTCTACCAGAATTACCAGTTTTCTACATCACTAACATGCCAGCAACTCACAGACTATGCCAATATCTATCTCATGACAGACTGTTTATAAAAAGGACAGAGTTTGGAAAATTACATTTAATAGTAAATTGGAAAAAGTTGTATTAGAATAGGGGTGTTAAACTGGCAGCCCATGGGCCGGATGCATCACACACAGGCCACGCCCATCCCGGCTCAGCAAAGGCAAAAAAATATCACGATATGTCACTATATGTCACGTGATGCAATCAAGTTTGACACCCGTGCATTAGAAGAAGAGTGTCTTTGTGAAGAAATAACATGCATTATGGCAATTAGGGTAAACTGCAATCTTTATCAATCCATTTATCTATCTACCGTAAGTGTGGAAAAAATGTTTATAATTAGCTAATAATGGAAAGGAATGGAATATTCCATGCCGTAATGGCTCAGATTAAGACTAATTTCCACATCCCTATATTATAATGCAAAACAACAATGGTACTTACGATTTCCATCAATGAAAGCAGAAGTTGTAGGATAAGAAATCTCCTGGACTTTGGGAGAGACAATAGCAATAGGAGGGTGATTTATTCGGATTGCTGGATAAAGATAAGAACCAGAATACCTCGTATAATTAAATAAATGCACTGCATGCCTTTCAAACCCATGCTTGTTAAAAAATCTGAAACCACCTCTTGACCGTTGAAAATATTAAATTCTTATCATGAGAAATAAGTAGATTTTGACCAATATCATATTTATTTATTTTTAAAAAAGATCACTGCAAATTGCTATTTGAAAAAAAAAAACAAAGACCACACTTGGTCCAAATGAAGGAAATTGTATCATGTCTGGAATTTGTGATGCTGGATTATCCTAATGGTAAACAGTGGCTCAATCAATCATTCTGCTTCAATATCCTTAGGTGAACAAACTCTACAATAATCCTGCCCAACTTCAGGAGGCCGAGAACGATCAGTATCTTTCAACTAGTGTGCTAGAAATTGCATTTCAAAAAGAAGCCTACATCCTTAAAATGTTAATTTGTTCATTTAATTAAATCAATTTAAACACACCTGTATTGTTGTGATTATTATTGAAGTTATTTTACCTTGCCTTTCTATTTGGAAAGCGTTCAACTTAATATACAGTAGTTGTTCCCCACATATTTCCCTTCTCTTCTGAATTAAAAATAGTTCAGCAGAAACTTTTGGAAGGAACCCAGGAGGATTACATCCAACATTGGCCTGTGTGTGTGTGTGTGTGTGTGTGTGTGTGTAGATACCTGTAAATCCAAGATTATTTTATATGTCCTATCTAGGATTGTTACAAATGCCAAAAAATGATGAGGCAGAGGAATACATGCAGGGGAAAAAATTATATTACCAATTCAAACATATTGGCTATGCCTGGTGTTTAACTTAGGCTGCAAGTACAGGCAGACCTCAACTTTCAACCATTCATTTAGTGATATTCTAAGTTACAACAGCACTGGAAAAAGTGACTTATGATCATGTTACACATTTTGGCCCACTGCAGCATCCCCATTGATCATGGGATCAAAATTCAGATGCTTGGCAACTGACATGTATTTATGACAGTTGCAGTGTCCCGGGGACAGGTGACCCACCTTTTATGAATTTTTAACAAGCAAAGCCAATGGAGAAGCCACATTCACTTAATCACATTACTAACTTAACAACTGCAGTGATTCACTTAACAACTGTGGCAAGAAAAATCATAAAATTGGACAAAAATCATTTAATAACTGTCTTGCTTAGCAACAGAAATTGTGGGCTCAATTGTGGCCATAAGTTGAGGACTGCATTTACATTCAGCTAGAAATAAACTGTATCCTTGGCAACTTGATTTTATTCTTCCTTTAGGTTCAAAATTAGGAAGTACTATAGAGCAGCAGTCCCCAAAACCATTATGGCTTGGCGGCCTGGCGGGGGGGGGTGAGAGGGGTACCGGCCCGTCAGTTGCACAAGTCAAGCTGTGCACAGCACACACACACAGCTGTGCACAGCCACTTGTGCAGCCTGGTTCCAAATAAACTACAACCCAATAATGGGCTGGGCCTGGGGGTTGGGGACCCTTGCTATAAAGTAGAAGAAGAAGGTTTAAAGCAGGCAAAATTTCTTTAAATGGTCACCTGGAGAATTGCCTTCCATCTTTTAAATAACAAATTACCAGGAAGAATTCACAAGAAAACCTTCTTCTACCTTAAAAAGAAACAAGGAAAGGGACGAGGTGGGAACTTTTCACTGTTATTCCTTACGTGAAAACATTTGGGAATAATAAAGTATCAACAGTGAATTTAATATAGATCCACCAAAGTAGAAATTAAGTGAACTGTCTGGAAAGCAGTTTTACCTGGTTGGACAGAAACATTTAGAAATCCTTCTCCAAATGCATTTTCAGCAGAAACAGTCACTCTGAAGACATAGGCACCTTCTGGCAGCTGGTAGAGAAACAGTGTGTTGGTATGGGTGCATTAATTTTGAATAAAGGTAGGGCATCTGAAGGGCATAGTTCAAATCACTCCAAGATGGGTGAGTCTACTCATATCAAATCCAGAATAATAAGCATATGCCTAGCACAGCCTTGCCTGCCTAATTGTTTTTCAGAAGTGTGGAGGCTGGCACATCTGTATTCCCAATCAGTATTGATGGAGAAGACTGCTTTAGACCTGGACTATTACCCAGAATGACCAGCAAATTATTTAGGAAGAAAACAATTTAAGGAAGTATGGGCAGGTCTGTCAACAAAACTGTAATCTATTTACAAACCTACCGGTACCAATACCATGTCAAGATCTGGAAGCATGTTTGACATGACAGACTTTCACCTTCTCAATGTAAGTTCTGCTAAGACAATTGGCTTGTCATAGTCATAAACAGAAAGCTAATTGAAATTGGCTTCCCAGTGAATATGGCCAATTGACCAGTCTGGGAAGCTCTTTCTGGCATGAAGCTCTTTCAATTTATAAACAAGGAACTGAATTCTGTCAGTTCATATGACTTTCCTGGGTTAGGGTACGTCCCAGAATCACCCCGATAAGATCCTCAATACAGCAGTGATCTGCAAAGAGATTCTGGAGTGGCACTCCAAAGTAGCCAGGTGAGTCGTCCATAACCTGGGCGGTGGGGTTAAAACCATGTCATTGTTGAAAAAGCAGTCATTTATTTATTTATTTATTTATTTATTTATGAGACTTATATACCACTTTTAAATGCAAGCACTCTCTAAGTGGTGTACACCAGTAAGCAATGTATGTATATATATATATATATATATATTTACATTGCCCCCAACAATCTGGGTCCTCATTTTACCTACCTCGGAAGGATGGAAGGCTGAGTCAACCTTGAGCCGGTGAGATTTGAACCGCTGATCTGCTGAACACAGTCAGCTAAAGTGGCCTGCAGTACTGCACTCTAACTGCTGCGCCACCTCGGCACAGGAATTTATTTTTCAGATGGGCAGTAGGTTATGCCTTTCGCTTTTTAAACACTTTGATTATTACGTGTATTTCCCTGAAAATAAGACCCATCTGAAAATAAGGCCTAACTTGGTTTTTTAAGGGTGGGATTAATATAAGGCCTACTCCAAAAATAAGCCCAGGAGTGGGTTTGGCCAGCACAAACGGTGGTGAGTGCATGGGGGCTGACAGTGTCCAGCAATAGCCACAGCCTGCTGGCCTCTTGGCACAGACCAAGTAAGTCCGTGCGCCGAGGCAGAGGCAGGGGGAAGTGTTTGGGCGCCTATAGAGTGCTTGGGAATGAAGCGATTCACTCAGTTCCTAAGCACCCCATAGGTGTCCAAGCACTTTTCCCCCGAATGGAGATCTGATGGACACTGGAAGCTCCATTTGCTTGCAAATGGGGCACTTGGAGATGGAGCTAATTGCTCCGTTTCAAAGCAGCCCAATCGCAAGCAGACGGTGCTTCCAGGCTCCGTCAGATCTCCATTTAGGGGAAAAGTGTTTGGGCGCTTATGGGGCACTTGGGGCAGTTCCCCCCCACCCCACCTTCCCCGCCTCATGGCAGCATTATGTTACAGCCGGCCATGTAGCCTGCTGTGAGCGGCTGCAGAAGTGGGCTAGCAGCCACTTGGCCTTCTGTGGGGCTATTGGTGCCGCCGCTGCGAGGTGAGGCAGGTTTCGGGGAAAAAGACCTACAGTCTCTTTTGGAGGCAAAAAAAACCCTGTCTTATTTTTGGGGAAACACAGTATCTTTGCTAAGTTAAAAAAAGGTTCTTCTCCGTCACAGCCTGTTATTCCTTTTTGAAGATCTGCACCATTTAACCACAGTTAAAAATTATGATTTTATTTTGTCATTTTTCATGAATTAATAAGTGTAAATAGAACTACATATGATTTCCCATAACAGGGAAAAAATGGACTTGGTTAAGATAGTGATGTAAACTGTTTTTAACAAAGAGATTTTATTTAGTCTTGTTTTTATTGCTTCTGGTTTTTAGGTTTGAAGTTGAAAAAAAATAAAATTTAGAATTTAATTTGAAGATTTAATAACTGTGTAGTTATAGAACTGGCTTGTAATAGTTATAAATAATGTAAAAAGTTGAGATCATAAATGTGTTAGTATTTTATTGTGTTGAAAAGAGTCAAAATCAACCCCTTTTTTCACTTCTTGTTTTTAATCTTGCACTTCCCCCTTTTTTAATCTTTACTTTCATGGCATTTTATATTATAATAAACTTTAATATAACTTCCATTAAAAAAGCAGAAAGCTAATTAAGAAAACTCTTGGATTTTCCCAATTTAGCAATTACTATATTCTAATTGATCTGTGGCAATGAATGTTGAACTTAATGGCCTGATTCAGCAGGATTCTTCTTGTGTTATTAGCTAATGTTCTGTACATTTAGAATCTGAAAATAACAGGGTGGATGCTCATCATCACATATTAATTTCTCTTCTAAAGTGAGAGAAATGATTTTCAAATAGTTGAACATTCATACATCATGATTTTATACGATTGGAAGCCATGGTTATACTAGTACCCACATCCATAGATCAGGAATCTTATATGAGCAGCTGCTTTATCAATTGATAAACATGATTGTATTTAGTAAAACAGCTATTCAGGGAGGATTACACATATCAGAAAATGTGAATACTTCCAGATCTCCAGGACTTCATACAGGTTTGATTGGGTAAGAGCCTACTCACCTGAGAAAGTTTTAGAGTTGGCGTGTGCTTCTCTTTCATTTCACCGTCATAGCTATCAGGGTAAGTGATCAAGCTCCATTCATAAATATAGTCTGTTTCTAAACAAAAAAGAAAATATAGCACAAATAATTATGTCTGCCATTATGCAACATTCAAATAGCCCTACCAGGGGTAGGGAACCTTGACTCTTTTATGACTTGTGGACTTCAACTCCCAGAATTCCTGAGTCAGCAAATCATAAAAGAGCCAAAGTCCCCTACCCTGCAGCCTAGTCACTTTCATAGGATAGAGGAATTGTAACTCTCCCCTTGTCCTACAACTTTTACTATGCAATACATTCTTGCCAGACCTGGTCTCTCAGCACTGATGATATTACCTAGTTTAGAAATGAAGTGTCTGTAAGGAAACCACCAAGCTCAGATATATTTTATGTTTATTATTTTTTAAAGGACGCTAATCTTATATGCACATATCAGGTGGCCATATACAGTATATTTTCATTAAGTTAAACAAATGTATAATGTTTAAATTAGATATGCTGTTTTATTGTCCCATTATTATTATTTTTCCATTCCCTAATAACTATTTCTCTTTCTACTCTTTTATTGTAAAGGCTGGTCAAAGACCATAATAAAGATATTTGATTTGATTTGATATTCAGTGTAAGTGATAGGATTTAATTTTGAGTCAGATAGCTGTCTAGGTTATTCCAACATGCAGGTCTTTTGTCCCAAAAATGCTTTTTCACGAGGCAACTGGACTTTCTTGAAAAACAGAAAGTTTCCTGGATAATTGAGAATCTTCATAGACATGCAGGGATTTTCTTTCGAGACAGGAACAATGGCTGATTACTGTAGTTCTCACTTTGAATTTAACTGTTCATGTTTCTCTTCTGTTTAAATCAGGCTTGCAAAATGCTCACCAAAAGTTATTAACCAAGAAACAATTCTAACAGCTTTATGTTAGGGTTTTGGTAAAGTCTAGGATCTTTCTATTTAATGGCCAAGTACACTTCCCAAAAACCTATACACATAATGAAATTTTAAAATTTTTAAAGGAAGTAATTTAAGGGAAGGGCTGAAGATACTGTTTTGAAGGGCAATTTTCTGTTCCTGATATCTGGTGTAGGCTAATCATTTGTGGATGATAATAATTCCAATTTTTCTCAATTTCTGTGGATTTATTTCCATATGAGACAGAATTAAGTTGGAACTCTGTAGAGAATTTGGACGTATCACTTCAGAATACAAGCAGATGATAAATGTTTTTAAAATATCCCCATCCACCCCCCAAAAAAAAAAACAATAGCAAGAAAATACACATCTCCCAGAAACAAAATAAAACAGACTAATAAAACAGGATAGATTACAACCCTTCTTCTTTATGTGCTAATTTTAATAAAAACCAAAAATATGGAGAAACATTAAATAAATAAACTACAAATACAAACTCAAACCAAAAGAAGAACATACAGCAGACTCTCATTTGGCTGAACGTTTAAATCAACATTTCTGTCTGTTTGCTTGAAGCCAATCCTTTTCTTTTTAATTATTCGGAAATAATTAAATAATTTGGACTGCCTTTTCATTAAAATATATCAAGAGCCAACAAGAACAACGGAATGGCTGTCCATAGTTAAAACTAAAGGTTAACAATGATTACATCATAAATAAAAATATATCAGACATTAAAGTTTGGGGGGAATTTAGGAGGGAGATAGGTTTTAGCCTATTAAAAAGAACTCAAGTGTCTCAATAGCAAGAGCTTCTTAGAGAAAGGAGTTACGCAATGATGGCTTCTCCATGGTAACCATCTGCTTCAACAGCAGCTGTATCTGGATAAGAACCTCTGGGAAAATCTTAGTTTTTGGCAATTTAACCAAGAGATATTCTTCCAACATCGCAGTTTTAAACCAGGAAGGCCTTCAACCATAATTTGAAGACTATCTCAACAAAGGAAGAGATTGGTATTATGAATATGCTCTCAAAATCTCAGTCATAATGAAGCCATGTTACCTGCTTTGGTGGCCGTTGTGGAAGACGTAACTTCACCTGCAGCACAAGGTGCAGTGCTATGAGCCCCGGTAGGAAAGGTTGTGGGTTTAGTTTGTATGAAATTATCTGGGTTTGATACTTCAGTTTGTGCTGGGATGGTGGAGAGAAATTCCAGAATTCCCGAAGAAGGAGGATTATGAGGAGGTGTTACCACCTACAAGACAAAGTGCAGGAATATATCATTATTGTAATTTTTTTTCACATTCTGGTATACAATGTTGAAAAATAAGCATGTATTGGAAGCTCTAGATTCAAAATTCTAATTTAGCTAGAATCGACAATATTATCAGCAAAATCTGGAAAAATACTATATTTTGCAAAATACCAAGAATTGCAGAAACACCCTTATATACACAGGTTTATCCCTTCTCTTTTCATTCTTCTTTTAATAATTAGCCAAAATGTACAATACAAGCAGCAGTTCTACTGATTTAGCAATAGCAATAGCACTTAGACTTATATACTGCTTCACAGTGCTTTACAGCCCTCTCAAAGCAGTTACGGAATCAGCATATTGCCCCCAACAATCTGGGTCCTTATTTTAGTGACCTTGGAAAGATAGAAGGTTGCATCAACCTTGAGCCAGTCAAGATTGAACTGCTGGCAGTCGGTATAGTTAGCCTGCAATACTGCATTCTAACCACTGCATACCATGGCTCTCTAACAAAATTTATTTTTGTTTTAATGCAGCCTCTTAGTGGAACAATCAAAACTGAATAATTACATTGGCTTCATTTAGGTAACGTACTTGAATGGCAGGTAGCTTCAGTCTACATGCTAGGAAGCGACTAATCTTTTTCCTATCACATGTGCACACTTATTTCTTTGCTCATAAAAGGATATTTAAAGAAATCTGCTTTGTCTTTTTTTTTTTAATGCCAGTTCAGAATTTCATCAAGAATGAAGACATTTGCCACTCCTAAGTTATTTGGGTGTGGAATTGGTGGTCCTCTGGAGGCTGACTAGCATCAAATAATATTGCATGGAATTTGCAATACTCGCTCAGGCCTGGTTATTAGAATACATGCGACATCCAAAAAGATAAAATGTGAAGACAGACACAAAGAAATACTTCTTCTCGTGCAATGCTTTATGAAAGTATTAGTTTATGGAATTTGCTGCCACAAGATACAGTTCCGATCACTGGTTAACGTGACAATTGAATTAATAAAGGTTACATCTGCCAAGCGCTATTTGTCACATCGTAGGGCAGCCTTCCAAACTGGCTAGGGAATTCAGCATTAATTATTTAGTAGTATATTTTATATTCCAACTGCTATCAGGTTCTCTTGGCCCAAGATATCTAGAGTCTGTCAAAGTAGGGAAGGCTGTTACAGTTCCAAGTTTAGCCTTTGCCTGTTTGTTCATCTTCCAACGGCATCTTGGTCAGTGTCAAAATTATTGATTTAGACACCCTTGTGATCTAACCCAATGGGAATATGTACACATTCACACTAATTGTGTATACCTTCCATCAAGGTATATACACATAAGGCTTAGGATGCACCAATGGTAACAGCAAATAATTAGGGATGTGTGATGTGTGTGTGTGTGTGTGAAAACACATACCTCCTCCTCCCAGCTGCTGTTCACTTCATTGGTAGGTGGATGAAAATCAAAATCATTCGCAGATTTATCCAGCAAGCCCAAAGCTCCTGTCAACTTTTCAGGATGTTCAGTGACAGGAATACTTTCAGATGTATTGACATTCATAGGGCTTCCCAAATGAACTTCTTCATTTTGAGGTACCTCTTCCTGTTTGTCTCCATTACCGAGTCCTGAAGAATTGAAGCCATTTTCAGTGGTCACCACTGATCCCCATTCCGCATAATTAACAGTCTCCTTTTCCTCAGGCTTGAGGCTGAGGTGAAAAGGATTCTGATCCATCTCAGCATATTCATTGGGATAGTCCTCAAGACTGTGGTCTTTGCTGAGGAATGACAGCTCCTTGAGGCTACCAATTTCTTCAGAGGGGTCACTTGCCAATGCCATGGAGCGGATCACATTGGATGGCACTTGCCCGTATCCTAGCAAGCTGGCTGGTCTCTGGGGAGCTCTGACCACAAAGGTTAGATAGGACTTCACCTTCTCCATTTTCTTGGGCTCACAATTTCCTTTATGTTGGCAACTGACCACATAGCAATGCCGCTCAAACATCCAGGCCAAGTCACAATCTGAAAGATCACAACAGGCTGCCAGGCAATCTGACATGGACGCAGCACGTGGGACCCGCATAATTTTAGTTGTTTCTAAATTGGGAAGTATTGCGTCGGTGTACTTGGTTCCTTCCCTGCACTGCTGACAGGAACACCCTGAAAAATAGACTTTGGTATAAGAGAGAAGATAAGCATTTACCCCTAAGAAAACGCTAAGGTTTTTGGTGGGAGGGGAGAATTTACTATTATTAATTTACATTTTATATAGTATAATGTAACTCAATGAATGTCCATTTAAATTTTTCATGGATTTTTTTTTACAATTATTACTAGGCTATCACAGCATCAGATAGCTATTATTCATATAGTTCTATTTTTCAATGGTTCCGTCATTATTTCCTTCCTTTCTCTTTCATCTTTGGAAATATAAGAGTTCAGAGATATATATAGAGAGAAAAGCAATTCAAGAAAGCTATAAAATAAAACCAGAAAAACACTCAACTCTTGCCTAGCAGAGCACACTTATTAAAGTGTGTATTAATTAAAACCCCAAAACTCAAATTTCATGTATTTTTAAATTGCTACAGAAGCCAAGAGTAGGACACTTCAGCTAAACTAAATAACAAAGCAGCTTGCTGAGTCATCCAGAAAAAAAAAAAAGGATAGTTCTGTTTGTTGAGCAGCTGGAGTTTTCTCCATGCGAAGCCTGCATGTTACCTCCAAGTGGTAAGTGTTCAATACAGGGGTGCTTCTGTGACAAATATATAATTAAGGATCTGCAGTATCTCTGTTCTTATTATTGTTAATATCCACTGTAGTTTACAAATGTCAAGGCTACATGGATGAAGAAAGTGGGGAATCAGAATGGGAAAGATGCACAGGGATGATTAAGCACTTCCTCTCCTAACAGCTTTGCCAGCTTCTATGCTCAGTTTTGACCAAATACATCCTTACTTTTCTCCTATGATTTTGGAAGGAATTGATCTTAACAACAGGAATAGTGGGAGGGAGGGCTTACCTATTAGAGCCACCAAGAGTAAACAGAAGATTCTCAGACCTGGCAGAAGAGACATCCTTTCATAAGGAGGAAGTACCAAATCCTGTTCAGATGGTAGCATGGAAATTATACAATCTTATTGTAAACTTTATCTTACACAGCCTGATTTCAAGAGAGGGAATCTGCAGGGCTGGCAAAATAAGGAGTAAAAGAAAGCCATAAGTATTAGTTGAAAAGTTAAAAAAAAACAAGAAGACAGAAGTATATTTATTACCGTCTGGCTATAGAAATAGGGACAATTGTAGTTGCAGAAAGTAAAAAGAAAATGAGAAATGAGATTATAATTTGGGCCTGTCTTCCTATAAAACTATGGAAGAGTTACACAAGGACAATTTGGAAATAAACTTCCGTTTGAGCATGTGCGAGAAATAGGTAGGGATAGTGACGCCCATCCAATGGTGTCATGCGCAATAGTTCAGTAGGCAGTGAGGAGTGGAAAGAGAAGGTTGTGTTGAAGTTGACTCGTCCACTAGATGAATTGAAAATGAACCCTGCCATAGAAAATCCTGCCAAATGTGAAGATGCCAAAGGAGTACTGCTAGTGAAGTTCATGGAGCGTGGTTCGACCATCAATTCAGAAGTCTACAGTGAAACATTACAAAAATTCAGACGAGCCATCCATAACAAGCATCACGGCATGCTGACCCTAACCCGCATGCCACTAGACCAGTGTTTCTCAAACTTGACAATTTTAAGGCATGGGAGTTGAAGTCCACATGCCTTAAAATTGTCAAGGTTGAGAAACACTGCACTAGACGCACCCAAGAACTTTTGAAGCAGTTCTGTTGGGATGTTTTTTGATCACACATACCCCCCTAGCCCAAATTTGGCGTCGAGTGACTACTACTAAGGAATTTCAAATCTTGTAAGACGTTATGACAAGTGCCTCAATTTGAATGGTGATTATGTCGAAAAGTAATGTAATGTTGTAGTTTTCTAATGTGTATAATAAAAGTTCTATATCTGCGAGGTTTATTTCTGAATTGCCCTCATACATTAGGCACTCCAGTAACACCCTTTCGCAAGTAATAATATACTATTAATACTAATAGAAAGATTATGAATATCCCTTCACTCTAGCTCTTTTACAAGCATCTGCACCCAACACATCTGATATGGTTTATCCACCATTTGCCAAAAATAATTTTAATTAGGTAAATAATCCTCCCGGTTGTTCTCCAAAGACTGTGAGTTGTAGTGCTTGAAACCTCCCCCTCTTTTAACAGAAATTTCCTCTGATGCCCAAGCAGAGAAGCAACAATTTATTTTTTTTAAAAAGGCAACTTTTAAAACTTTGAAGACATTAACCCATTTGCAGCTATCCCTGAGCCCTTCTCTCCCATGTCCCTTTCCTTTCAGCAGCTCATTCTAGATCAGGGGTTCTCAACCTTGGCAACTTTAAGACTTGTGGACTTCAACTCCCAGAATTCCTCAGCCAGCTGGCTGAGGAATTCTGGGAGTTGAAGTCCACAAGTCTTAAAGTTGCCAAGGTTGAGAACCCCTGTTCTAGATCACTTGCTTTTCCTGAAATCCATGCAGTGGCGGCAGCTGAGAAATGTGAGTGAGATTCCCTCTGATTCTGTGCATCATATCATTGGAGACATAGATCTAAATACAAAACTAGGCTGCAGGCTATCTGCCCATGATTGACCATTTTTCTATAAATGAGGGCTGGCAAACTGGGATCAAAACCTAGGGGTTTTGGGGTTTTTTTTGCAATCTAGATGTTAAAATTTCCTCAATCACCATTTTTCCATTTTTAAATGTCTTGAATGTCAGAGCTGGCTCAGGAATTCTGGGAGTTGAAGTCCACGAGTCATAAAAGAGCCAAGATTGCCTACCCCTGGTGAATTGTTTACTTTTTGATTGTTGGTCTATTGTTATCAAACTACGTAGTTATTAAACCATGAAATATTTTTATTCACCTGCTATATCAGTGGTTCTCAACCTTTTTAATGCCGCAACCCCCAACCGGTCGTAAGTCGAGGACTACTCAACCAGTCATAAGTCGAGGACTACTCAACTGGTGCAGCACCGTTTGCAGAATGGGACTTTTGGCGGGCTCAGCAGGGCAGAGACAGCCTGGACAATTCCTATTGGCTTTTGAAAGCCAATAGAATTAGACTCTATTCAAGAGAGTCTATTCTATTGGCTTTCAAAAGCCAATAAAATAAAAGGGAGTAGCACAGCTAAGGAAAAGGGGGAAAAAATGGTGGACTGCATTGTTTGGCGACCCCCGTGAAATGGTCGTTCGAACCCAAATGGGGTCCCGACCCACAGGTTGAGAACCACTGTGCTATATGAATAAAAAAACAGATCACGGTTTTCCCCAAAGAGCAGAGCACGTTAACAAAAGAGAAACCGTTCTATTTCTTTGCTAGCTCACTCAACATCTGTACTTGAAGGTCTAATATTTTTCATAAGCAATGCCTCATCTAAATCATGAAATCAATGCCTTATCTAAAAAGAACAGTTAAGACTGACAACGGCATTTGAAACAGGTTAAAAAAAAATCACTCTCCTGCAATATTCCTACTTCTAGTCAAAAATAGAGTTTAACCAATTAAAAGGCTAATGGTGGAAAAATGTGCACAATGAGAAATGAACATTACAGATCTAAAAATGTGCTCTTTATAATAAAATGGATCTATCTATCTATCTATCTATCTATCTATCTATCTATCTATCTATCTATCTATCTACAGTTAGGAAGAGAGAATCAGTAGGGTGTAATGATTTAAGGCTTCAGGCTAGAAAGTGGGAGAGTGGGGGCTCTAGTCCTGCCTTAGGCACAAAGCCAGCTGGGTGACCTTGGGCCAATCACTTTCAACCTGAGGAAGGAGGCAATGGAAAACCATTTCCAAAAAACCTTGCAAAGAAAACAACAGGAACTAATCTAGGCAACAGGAAAGAGTCAACACTGACTTGAAGTGGGGGGGAGTTAGGAAGTGCAAGTTCTGCGCTGCTGCTATATTCTCACTTATGGTAATTCTGTCAATTAAACAATTGCCATAAGAATTAGCTCTGAGATAATCATCACCCAGACAAGGCTCCAGATGGTTAGCTCTAAAACAAAGACAAAACATGAGCATACAATATATGCCTCTGGTTAAAAGCTGAAGGAAATAAGACCACAAGTGGGAAGTATGGTTTCAGCAGACCAAGGTTCAGATATATATGATTAGTTTGAAAAAAAGATTAGCAACCCTAGCACAGAACAGTTATCATTGCATGTTAGTTCAGATGAAAAAAAAATCATCTGAAAAGTCTCATGAGGTCACCAGCACTTACAGGGACCCCACCTGTGAGAAATTTCTGAGACCACTGCAACACAATTTTACCATTATTTAAAATGGCTTTAAAAAAAAAAAAATGACTATTTTCTCTTGGGGATCTCTTGAAGCAGCCTAGAGCAGGGGTGGGGAACCTTGGCTCTTTTATGACTTGTAGACTTCAACTCTCAAAATTCCTGGGAGTTGAAGTCCACAAGTCATAAAAGAGCCAAGGTTCTCCACCTCTGGCCTAGAGGGTACCTTGGCACCAGCAATGGAGAGTTGCTATTCTTAGACCTAGAGAGTTGGACACCATCCCATTCAAAATGTGTAGTGTACAAAACTCATTATTAGGGAACTATAGTACCAGCATTGTTCATTGGCTCTCCGCTGACAAATACAACTAACAAGGATTTTGATGCTTAACACTGGGTTCTATGAATCAGCTTAGTCCCCGTATTTCCTCAAGCAAAGTGTACAACCCAAACTACAAAAAGATTGCCGTATTTCCTCAAGCAAAGTGTACAACTCAAACTACGAAAAGATTGACCATGCAATCGGTTAAGCAGCTCATCATGCATTGGCTGAAATAATACTATCTCTGCAGCTCAGTCACTTCCTTATTCAAGCTAAGCCCCATTGAGCTCAAGTAGACATGTATAAGATTGTGACATTAATGTCATGATTAGACATAAATGCATAGTGTATACCAAAGGTAACTTAACAGATTTTAAAATAGTAGAAACATGTGATCCATAGCCTTAAAACAATACAAATGGAACTCTTGCCAAGTGAACCCACCCTTTTTATTACCGTGGGAATGGAAAACCTCCATTGAGATAAATGGGGAAAATCTTCCGAGTAGAGAAACCCCAGGTTCCCCTGCAATAACTCTTATCACAGAGTTAAAGTCCTGGTTAGCTTTTAACACATTCTTTGTCTACAGATAGAGTAACAGTTTGAATGAAACATGATGTGAGGTTAAGGAACTGAAATCAAAATATTCTATCTAGAACAGTGGTTCTCAACCTTTTTAATGCCGCGACCCCCAACCGGTCGTAAGTCGAGGACTAAACTGGTCGTAGGTCGAGGACTAAACCGGTCGTAAGTCGAGGACTACCCAACCGGTTGTAAATCAAGGACTTTCCCTGCCCGGGAGCACCACGTATGCGTGGTGCCGCCCCCTGCGCCGGCCGAGGCGTAGCTGGCAAGAGGCAGAGACGAAGCAGGCCAACCACCAGCTGGGCCACCAGCTGGCCCAGCCCAAGGGAGGTAAGGTACCCACTGGAAAAGGGGGGGGAAAATGGCGGACAGCCTTGCTTGGCGACCCCGGTGAAATGGTCGATCGACCCCAAATGGGGTCGCAACCCATAGGTTGAGAACCGCTGATCTAGAATATGCAGCAAAGATTGCAACTATCTCTCCTTAAGCAAGTTATACCAGTGTAATGTATTTTTTCTCCTCATTGCACAAGTTATATAAAATGCAGCACAAAATATTTTTGAGAAATAATCATATAAAAATGGTCTGAGGTCTGTCAGTGACTTTTGTGATCACACATCAGAATCACTTTGAAATTGAAAATACTTGTTAGCTCATATGGATTTTACTACTCTATCTCAAAACCTGGATGCAAAAAGAAGGACCTTATTAAATACTGTATGTGAAAATAAGTGAATGCTATTCTATTCCAGTTCCCAAGGAGTAAACACCACTAAACTCAATGCTATTTACTTTTTCCCCATCACTCATAGGATTGCTCTGTTAAATCCTGACAACCAGCTTAAGAGTTGCCAGTTTTTGACACTCTATGCAGCTGTCTAAAATATATATGTATGCTATATTGGATGCTTTTTTTCAGTCTAATACTTTGTGTCAATTTTAAAGGGAGGACAAGCTGTCTAAAATATATATGTATTCTATATTTGGGTGCTTTTTTCAGTCTAATACTCAATTTTAAAGGGTGGGCACCAGTTCTGAATTCTTATTGTAACCATGCATCCCGTAAACATTGTGAACTATTCAATATAGGAAATGATAAATCACCCCCTACAAGCAAGCAATCCTATCCTTTGCCCTCAGCCTACTGTTGGCCAGCCTGCTTTTACCAAGAGCCTATCATTTCACAAAGTCTAATCAAGTCAATGTCCCCATCCTTCGGATCAACCTAATACATTTGTTTTTCTTCAACTTCAGCCAGGTGGGAGGGAGCGGTGGGCTTCTCACAGCGGCCTAGGCGGGTCTGTATGATTTTTTTTCCCCGCCTAGTCGCCACTGCAAGATCTGCGATGCGATCTGCCATGTTTTTAGGGAATATCGATCTGGGGGGGGGGGCTCAGAGCAGCATCACGAGCTCCTCAGATGAGATAAGATGAGAAGAGATGAATCGAGGCTTTTTGTGCGACCGCCCGGGGGAAGGGAGGCGCTACCTGGAATCGGTGAGGCTTGTCGCATTTCCTCCCGGCAAGCCATATATCGATTGGGGAAACTCCGGCTGAAGGGGCTTCGGATCTTACCCAGAAGCACCCCGTCAAGACCCGCAGCAGAAGCAGACGGCGCTTTCCCTGGGCTCACGGCTGCTGCGCTCACCCCAGCCGCCCGTTCCCCGCCCCCCACCCGGCAGCAGGCGAGGGGGGGGGGCAGCTCCGCTTCGTCTTACCTGGCGATGGTCGGCGGAAATCAGGCAGCGACGGCGACATCCGCGGGACGAAGCCGCCTCCATCCGCTTCTCTTCCCCAGGACTTGGGGAGCCGTTCAGTGCGCGGTCCAGGAAAAAAAAAAAAAAATGGGTGTGGACAGTCAGGGGCCAACTAGTGAAGGATGCTCAGTGCCGGGAGATGTTTGTCGGGAAGGTGGGAGGGAGGCTCTGGGCGTGCGCGCGTGTGGGGACGGCGCCTTCCTCGCTTGGCTTCTTTCAGACCCATTATCCCGCGTCCGCCAGCCTCCCTTTCGGCGACCAATCCCAACCTCGCTCACAGGGGCCGGTTTTGCACTCCCCTCGTTCTCTTACGGGACCCCAGAAGTCACCCGTGGAAGCCTCGGAGCGTCCCAAGGATAATCGGCGTCTGTGCACCAGACACAGGAGACCGGAAAGGGAGAACATAGTAAACACTCGGTGATTTTATACTGGATACTTTGGTAATTTCGTATTTATGCGGAAAGCAATAGCAAAGCTCCATATTTCTCTTACGGATGTTGTTGCTGCTGCTTTGTTTAATACAGGGGGAAAGAGAAAAAAAGCAATACCATAACAAAACATATTTATATAACATATGCCGGTGAAATACGGGCACTAACCTCACAATCGATACAAAAGCTACGTGTGGTGCAAAGAACCACGGAAGGATACATGCTCAGCATTATAAGACAGGATAGAAAGACCTGCACATGGATCATTAGAGAACAAACGAAAGTGTACAATATCATCAAGAGAGTAAAGAATTGAAATGGAAACGGGCTGGTCACACAGCGAGAAGAACTGAGGCAGGTGGACATAGAATGGATCCCACTTGATAAATAGAATGGATCCCACTTGATAAAAAGTGTCCATGAAAGAGACCTAAAACAAGATGGATCAATGACAGCGAGTATTGCAGGCCCAATTGCCAAAGACAGCTCACAATCGTATTGGTTGGAAACATGTGGAAGAGGCCTTCATTCTGCAGTGATAGACAATGGCTAAAATGATGATATTCTCTATATATGGAAATACACAGACTATAGACAAATTTCTTGTGTGTCCAATCATACTTGGGCAATAAAGCTATTCTATTCTATTCTGTTCTATTCTTTATACAATTCATTCAGAAAGTATTCAGACCCCCTTTGCTTTTGTCAGTTTTGTTATGCTGCAGCCTGATTCTAGTTATTGAAATTCATTTTTTTCCTAATTAATCTACGCTTAATACCCCATAATGACAAAGTGAAAACAGAATTTTAGAAATGTCTGTAAATGTATTAAAAAGAAAAAACTGAACTATCACATTGGCATAAGTATTCAGACCCTTTGCAACAACACTTGAAATTTAGCTCAGATGCCTTGATCATTGCTGACATGTTTGTACACCTTGATTGGAGTCCACTTGTTGTAAACTAAATTGATTGGACATGATTTTAAAAGGAACACACCTCTCTATAGAAGGCCTCACAGCTGACAATGCATACTTTAGTAAAGCAAAAGTCATGAGGTCAAAGGAACTGTCTTCAGAGCTCAGAGACAGGATTATTGCAAGGGTCAGACCTGGGGAAGGCTACTCTCTAACAGACCATTGTTTCTCAACCCCAGCAACTTTAGGTGTGTGGATTTCAACTCCCAGAATTCCTCAGCTAGCAGGGGAATAAAAAATAAAAGGACTGCAGCATTCTTTATCATGTGTCCTGAGCATTTTTTCACAATGTAAAGAAAAGGCTGCTGAGAAATCGCTTTGCAGGAAAGACTCTCACAACAGAAACCATGCACCAACCAACTTTATATTTAAGCAACCTCATGATTTCCAATTGTTTATTATTTAACATATGGCATATCATACACAGACTAGCAATATATATTAACATTTCATCTAGATTAGTAAAACACAATAAAATATAAATGCTAAAACAATCTATGTTGAAATACCAACGTCAAGGCCATATAACCATTGAAGCACAGCATCGTTTATATTAAAAAAAATTAGATATTGGACCACTGTATGCCCTCACCTGTGATCTATGGTTTGACGTAGGACCCCATAGTCATACTGAGGGGAGGATACCATGCCCCATTTATACAGAGTCCCAGCAGATGCCATGTAAAGTGCAAATCCTATTTAGGATTGCTCATTGCTGACACGGTAGTTCAAAGTTCAAATGACCTTTTTTATGGTCATTTATGTCTTCTTATGTCTGAGCGTTCAGCGACCCATTTGGCTTCCATTGGCAATAGCAGTTAAAATTGTCAGGCAGATGTTCTGCAAGTGCCAGTGGGGACTTCCTGGATTTGAGTCTTCTGACTGATAAGTGCATGCACCTGTAGGAGTGAGCTGTTCGTAATTTTTTTGTATATCCTCACTAGTGCATCTTTCCGTTGTAAAACCGGTGGTGCTATATCGCTCAGAATAGGAAGCCAGCAAGTCGGAGTGGTCTTAATATGGAGTGGTTTACTATATTATTACTATATTATTATAGTTGACAGCAAAGTAGCAGCAGTAGCGTCCTTTGAGTTTTGGGGTTCTATAAACTCCCAGGACTTGAAATGGACACTTGACATTAGAACCATCATTAAAAAGGCACAATGAAGAATGTTCTTCCTGCATCAAGTCAGGAAATTCAGACTGCCCCAGGAGCTGCTAACAGTTTTACAGAGGAATTATTGAGCCTGTTATTAGTACTTCTATAACTGTCTGGTTTCATACAGCAACCAAACAGGCAGGTACAGATTCCAACAGATAGCTAAGACTGCAAAAGAATTGCAACCAGTCTACCTTCCACAGAAGACCTGTATACTGTGTGGGTCAGGAGGAGGCCTGAAATGATATCTACAGACCCTTCCTGGACATAAACTGTTTCTTGGGATGCACTTTAGGGCATTGCATGCCAAGACCACTAGACACAGGGAAAGTTTTTTTCCCTTGTGCTGTTACTCTGCTGAACACCTAATTCTCACAGTCCTGTCTAATGTGTATGTATATTAACTCATATGGTATGACTGTAGTATTATTTATCCTTTTATTATGTTTAGATCTCCCTTTTACTTATTACTATTGTTGTTCTTCTCTCTATTGCTTTGCAAGTACACTAAATGCTTCTGTACTTCCTTGTGTGTCTAATCATATTTGACCAAATAAAGTACTCAATTCAATTCAATTGTAATATGCATTCCTTTCATATCCATCTAGTGGTTAGGTTAAGAAATAAACTACTAAGCTTCTGTATAGCAGGACATCTTATATTAGCATCAGCAGTTGGCTAATTAGAGAGCTGGAAATGTTGAAAACACAGTTAACACTGGAGCCATAAATTCCACTAATCGAAGCCTTGGCTTGAAAACAGAAATACAAGTAGAAGAGGCCTGTTCTTTTGCAACACAGCCCTTGCTCAGATTAGCTCTCTCTCCTTCAGTGTCCCTACCACCTTTCTGCCATGAAAAAAAACTGTTGTCTCTTCTTTTAGCCCCAGGTCCTATCATCTCCTGGAAGAAGTATGTCATGCAGAAGGTGCTTCTTTGGCTTTTGATTTTCCTCTGGTTAGAAAGCTCAGGGAACAAATAAGCAGCAGTAGGACCATGAAAAGTTAGGGGCTGAGCACTGAAGAACAGGTTTGGGTGGTGTTCACTAACAGCAACCCTTGATTCTTGAGAAGAACTAGGAATTAGAGGATATCCCAGCAATGGATTAATAGTCCTGAAATTATAGTCTATCTTTTTCTTCCTGAATTTATAATCTCCCCATTTCAGCTACCAAAACATAGTGTCATTAAAGTGGACTCACAAGAATGCTTTATTAAAAACAAATTATGATGTGTTTAGTAAACTATTCTATTCTTTTGAATAATATACACAACATAAAATAATTTCCTCCCACACATGCACAAATTAACTAAAATGTCTTCTGCATTGCATGGGATCTTAATATTTTAAATGGAATGTTCCATCTTTGCTAAGCAAGAATTCTCCAAACAAGTAAAATGAACTGCTTAGTTTACACGATTGTGAATCAAAATTAACATTAGAACTGGTTTAAAATTTTGAAGAACATAAAAATCGGAAAAGTGAAATGTTTTCTTCTTACAATATCACATCTAAATTGCAAAACAGTCCCCAGTGATCACTAGGAAATCTGCCACAATCTAGTTTTTCCAGACCAATCAAATCCAAACTCTGAGGAATAATCTGTCCACCAGCTGTTGCACCTCGGAAAAACAGACGATCAAACCGACTTTTGCACTTGTACTTTGCATTCAAATTATTGTTTTGGCTTGTATCCCATGTGTAGTGGCAATGTTCAGGCTTGCCCAAGAACTCCCAAATATCCAAAATATTGTTAGGTAAGCCACCCATTTTAGCAACCTGATAAAGATAAGAGCAGAAAGCGATAATAGAGCAGTAAACATAGTAATCATCATGTTGCTTTCAAGTCTGAATTACGTTCTCATCTGATATGTCAGAGGAATACAATATTATCTAACACAGTGGTGGCGAACCTATGGCACAGGTGCCAGAGGCGGCACTCAGAGCCCTCTCTGTGGGCACACGCCATTGCCCCAGTCCTAGGCCTTCAGCTGGGTTTTATAAAACCTTTTCATTTTAGGCCTCCGCCATGTTCAAAAAAAAAAAAAAGTCCAATCAGTCAATTTCAACTTCTTGCGGGGAAAAAGAGATCTTGTAATGTTGGAATTGATTGAACTTTTTAGTCCCACTCAGTCTGCCGTTACCACCATAGCCACACCCAGCCAATGGGCCACACCCACCCGGCACTTGACGATGCATAAGTGGGTTTTGGGTTGCAATTTGGGCACTCGGTCTCTAAAAGGTTCGCCATCACTGATCTAACACCATAGAAAATTACAGAAAAGCAAAAAACATCTATCTTCTAAAGTAATTCACACTCTTTCTTCTCTAAAATCAGTGGCCCTATCCAAGTGATTTTTATAAACTTGGAGATCAGTATTTTTTCCTGGTCATTGTGCATCAATTTGAAGACAAAAATCCTGCCTTTGATTAAGTATGGGCTGGTTCTTATAGAAAAATAATCCAGATATTACATTAAGGAAAAGTATGCCAATGCTTTTAGCTATCAAAGAATGAGTGATCCGGCCACCTTACTAGAGAACTAACAGTGATCAAGCAGACTGAGAGCGGGATAAAAAGAGGTAACAGTAACAGCAATTTTTGGGATACACAATTGGGAATATAGAGATATATAACAATCAACATTTAGATCTGTAACCACCACCAATATCCTGCTCAGTAAAGAATACCATGAATAATTCATTGAGGGGGAAAACGCATGTAATATATGGGGAAAATATCTTGTCTAGACAGGTAGCCCTTGACTTATGGCTTCCTGGGGTGGCTAGGGCTTTTTGCTGCACTGCTGTGGCTTCCTTAGGCAGATGCAGCTTCATGCGGCACTACTAGGCTTCAGCTTCACACCATGCTGCTGGGACTTCCTGGGATAGCCGAAGCTCTTGGGACAGCTGGGATTTGAGTCATGCTGCTGGGCTGTAGTTTTGTCCCACACTGCTGATGCTTCCTGGAGCGGCTGGTGTTTCCCAGGATGGCTGGAGCTTTGTGCTACACCGCACTACTGGGGCTTTCCACTGTTTTGCCCCTTAGGAGTTTCTTGCAGCCCCAGAGTGATGTGGTTCTGAGACTGCTGTTGTACAGGGTAGCCAAAAGGGCAAAGATGGGGAGGAGATGAATAGATGGGTAGTAGTGAAGAGGAGGCAGTCCCTTACTGCCCCTTGAACAGAGGCTCAAGGCCGGGAGGGACGTAGCCCAGAATGGCTTGGATTGGAGAGGGCCCTCAACTAACAACTGGTGGAATTTGGTTAACAATGTCAACTGGGATTGCCCTTGCTAAGCAATGAGGTCATGTGACACTGCTTAGCCACATTGCTTAGTGATGGAAGTTCTGGTCCCAACTGGTATTTTAATTTAAGGACTACCCGTAGGTACTGAGAAAGAAAATGCAAAGAAGGGTCTGAGAGAAAAGAAAAATATTTGTCCTAGCTTACCTCTTTGTCTCTTAAGTTTGTATCACCTCCAAAAATCACAGAACTTGACTCGGGTACCTCCGCCATTTTGGCAAGCACCAGTTTCAACTGTTTTAAACGTTCCTCACTGTGATCCTTAGTACTCTCCAAGTGGGAAGTCATAAGGCACAGGTCATTGCCAGAAATGTTTACCTGATTTTTAAAAAAAAGATGCATAGCATGAAAAAAAATAATTTACATTACTCAGTTCTCCCATTCCACCTTTTATTTTTGATCATCACAAAAATGAAGCCTTTTAAAGCTTGTAAATCCACCTACCCTTAATTTAAATTGAAACTAAATAAGGATGCAAGCTGTATTTATTTTAAGTTATCAGTGATCTCCTACAATAATAAATTAATTTGTTGCCAACCACTCTTCCCCTAAATAACACACTCAGACCAAATTCTATCAGGACTCCCATTTTTCCCGGACAAGCCACCTGCAGAAGCTGCTCTGGATTGGGACTCTCCTTCAATAGCTTTTTCCCCAGAAACAGCTCAACCCATATTTGAACGCTATTCCTTCTGAGAATGCTTGCCAACAACTGAGGAAGTAGCTTTTCCTCTTTCCTTGTGTTGCCTACCATATTGCCTGCTCAGACATCCTTGTAAATCAGACATGTCAAACTTGCGACGTCACACAACGTATCGGAGCTTTTTCGCCATAGCCAGCAATGGGGTGGGCGCGGCTCTAGTATGATGAAATCGGCCCGGGGGCCGGCGGTTTGACACCCCTGTTGTAAGTAAACAAGACGTCTGTCTGTCCCAAATGCAACTCCCAATGAGGCAGTACTGATCCAAAGGGCAGATACTACCCAATTGCTTTGTTTCCTTTAGGCAGGGAATATCATGCCTAGAGGTCCATCAGTCCAGTGGTCCCTCTAGGTCCTTCCACTTCCCAGCCCCACTGGGACTCACTAGCATAGATATATTTGGTGTTCCCAACTGCTTCCCAATTCTGTTTAGTTTTTCAGAGGGGCTTCACTTTCTTACATAGAACTGGAATATGAAAGTAGGCAAGAGTGCCTTGATTTTAGGGGATCACCTTGGGAAACACTTGGAATTAGGCTGTGGCAGATGAGTGGCAAAGATAAATCCCTCTGCCTACAGCTCATTAACCACGCTCAAGTGTAACAGCAATGAGCACAACCCTCTCAAATTTCCTTGTGACCTCCTAGGACAGTGTTTCTCAACCTTGACAATTTTAAGGCATGTGGACTTCAACTCCCAGAATTCCACAGCCAGCAATGCTGGCTGTGGAATTCTGGGAGTTGAAGTCCACATGCCTTAAAATTGTCAAGGTTGAGAAACACTGTCCTAGGAGGTCACAGCTCATGTTTTAGAGCCCCGAAATTGGTTGATTAATATACTAAAGGTCACCCAAGTTAGCACATCCATAGTGACATTTTAATCCACAGTCCATCGTTTTTTCAAAGTATGCAGAATAGTAATGACATACTTTTTTACACTATTGTCAAGTATAAGAGAAAATGAAAAAACACAAGTATAGTTGATCGTTTCACATATAGTGCTAAACCTAATACGGCAATAAGTGAAAATTTAGCTTTTCAATCCATTTGTAATATTACAGAAAAGTTCTCATATATTTTGATTTTGTCCAAACATATTTATGTTCCATAATACAAAGAGCTAATATACAAAACTAACTTGTAAAAATAAAATAACAGTTCAAAGTTTATAGTGAGAATACCCATTTCCTTCCATACTAATGTCCCATTAACTTGCTTTTAAAAAATCTTGACTATAGGTTATAGGAAAAGCTGTTTTTTCATGTTTTAAACAATTTTCTCCATAAAGCTGATGTAAAACTCACTTACATATACTGCTAATAAATTTCTCATCATAGAGGTTGTAGGAAAAGCTGTTATTTCATGTTTTAAAACTTTTACTCTTGATTTTTTTAGCATGATGGCGGTAAAATAACCATCCGTATTACCTGGAGAGACAGATGGTCAAACATACACAAAAAAAGAAACGTCAACATCATGGTATTTCACTCAGAATTTCCACACAATAGAAGACATTAGCCTTGAGTCTGGAGGAATTTCAGACATGTATTACATCCTTATTTTTATTTCTCATTTTAAATTAACCCCATTAAACAAAGTTTCATCTTTTTTTGGACCAAGATTACACTTGGACTTTGCATGAGAAGCTGAAACCTGCAATCCCAAAGCTGTGCATGCAAAAGGAAGTAAATTGGGTTTAATTTATATTATTTAAGCACAGTTAATCCAATTATTTCCCATGCATTTAATAATTTCTAGTTTTAGTTATACACTGAACTGGTACACAACTTTTGGAGTATTCTGGAAAGTTCCCCAAAGGTTTAGTTTAAGGGATTATATATGTCAAGGTTAACAACATGTTTTTCAGTCTTGGTTATAATGAAGTGTAATTAGGTAAAAACTTCTGAAGTTCACACAGCCACACCAGATACATCAGGATGAAATTCACTAACTCACATTTATGTATTCCAACCATAGTTTACCTCTTCCTAGGAAACTAGTATAATCAACTTTCTGCAGCTCAATATAGTGGCATTATACAGTATCATAAAAATACCATTGTATTTGCAGTTGTTGCATTAAGCTGGGAGGGACTACTATAACTTCATGCATTAAATTGATAACTTCATTTACCTGGAATAATTGTGTAACTGACTGCTCTCTTCTGGAGGTAACTTAAATATACAGGAATAACCTCTTGTAAAAACACCACATCTGGGCTGTATCTAAATTAAAAAGAGACATTTATAATGAGACATATTGTAACTGTAGGAAGAAAAGCAAAGTTATGGTACTGGTACTAGCAACTGAATGGAGAATATTTCACAATTTTCCAAACTTAATTTCTTCTAGCCCTTTTTAAAATAACCAGTGCATCAATTCACACTTTCCAGGTTTTATTTAGGGTACTAAAAGTTCTGGGTTGCTTGAGATGTGATGTGAAAACCTTGTGATGATTCTCTCACAAAAGTTATTTCTGAATGTTACTTACGTATCAATGATATTCAAGCATATGATAAAACTATATAATGTAAGCAAACCTCTGTCTCATAGAATTCTGCACTCCTGCAATGCAGCTATGAGACTAGACATTTTAATTCATTAATCATGGACTAGTTTTATATATAAATCTTAAAACCATTTTAATTTTTCTTACATGAATCCAGTTTAAAACTCATGCTTTGAAATTAGCTTATTTCATTACAATATTGCAATCTGATCTTATACAGTTCATAAAGTTAAGATGGCAATTTTGATAAACTATGTGGGCATGTCTGTGGGCATTTGATAACACTTCTAACCATGTCTGTCTGTCTGTCTGTGTATACTCTGTGTGTGTGTGTGTGTGTGTGTGTGTGTGTGTGTGTGTGTGTGTGTGTGTGTATGTTTTCTGAGGTTTTCGTGGGTGTTTGTATGTAGGTCTTTGGTTATTCGGGTTTTTTCCCGCGTCAAATTGGAAGTGTCTTGGCTTCTAGGAGCATGAAGCCGAAAACACCAGCCTGAAGATGACGAATGAGACTTCATCGAAACGTCGCCAAGACACTCCCAATTTGACGCGGGAGAAAACCCAAATAACCAAAGACCTACATACATACATATATACATATATACATACATACATACATACATACATATATATATGCTGGAAAATTTGCATAAAAATACGACTCCTGGGCATGTCTATAGTACGAATAAAATACGAACACCAGGAGAATATAAATATAAAAATATACTTTACTAAAAGCTGCCAAGCTTTCGTTTGGAAACTCCAAACATCATCAGGGCTAAGGAGCCAGTAAACAATGATGACTTAAATGGGTTTTGCCGGCATCTGCACCCGGCTCATGGACCGCGTCACCAGTCCCGGCCGGTGTTCCAGATGTTTCTTTATTACTCTCCTTGCTCTTCCTTCTATGGTTCTTCCGGATCATTCCTTCCACTATCTCATTACTAACATTCATCTCCCCCACCACCCCTTTATCCTTATTTCCTTCCATAGTACTGACCCTCATCCCCTTTTTGTTTTCATTTTCCAAAGTAACTTGCTAACTACAACTGCATCTACTCAGAGGAAGCACTGCAATTCTTTAATAATCTTCTCTATGTATTACTGCAGTGTATTATAGATGACATGCTTTAAAGATTTCAGATTTTTTTTAACCTTAAATAGCATAAATGACTGGTGCTAGCTAACTTTAATATTTATCAACCCAGATCCCCACGCAATACCATCATCCAAATACAGAAAATGGTCATTAGAAATAATGGGAGCCATCTGAGGGCTGTCTTTGGCAGAAATTTTGCAATAGTAATTTTGATTTAGGTCCTTTTAATTTGCTTGTAGCCTTGTCCAAAACATGCTTTAATAAGCATTCTAGAATTACTAAGATTATAAATATGAGGAGAATGTTAAATCGAGAATAATGACTGAATAAAACAGAGAAGAAACACAAATCTAAGATTAATGTTTTAGAAGCACAGTAACTTACTCTCCAATTCATGCAAATTAAAAATAATTATTTCTACCATATTCTAGATGAGTAGTTATATTTTATTGATACAAAAGAAATAAAGAACTTTGCCATCAAGCAAAGTAACACATTTTTGCCGCAAAGCCTTAGAGAACCTAAACCTTTTTGTTACTTAGAGACTTAAATGCATAAATATTTTAGCATTGTATTACAAAAATATTCAACTCGTATTAAAAAAGTAGCTAGTACAAAACAAAAGCATAATATAGTCCAGAGCATGCTTGTTCTATAATTAATCTCATTCAATCGTTGGGGCTTATTTCTACTAGATGCCCATAGGATTACTATGATAGATACTTACAAAGCTAGATAGGAACAGACTCCCCGTGCCCTTTCTTGCAGATTATTTGAATCCAGGCCATCAATATTCCAAGTAATTAAAGAAAAAGTGCTGTCATCTTGTGGGTAGATGCCTGCAGCTTCCACTGCAGCAGCTACAGTACTGGTAGTTGAATGATCAGCTAGCTCAACACTGGAATGCACACACACAAATTAAAGCATATTACCTAAAGCAATTTTCTCCAGAACATTTACTTATCCACAGATTTTAAAAACTAATTTTAGAAAATTGCCATCTGCAGTAGGTCCAATTTACTACATAACATGCTATGGTTGTCACAGAAACATTTAGAATTTTTCACATCAGAGATCAGCCTTGAAGCTATGTGGGCATCAATTTCCCTATGGTGCCCTAAGGTTTTAGCTTGGCATGTGAAACTTATCAAGTGTAATTTGTTAGCCATGATTTCTTGGTTTCACACTATCTGAACCAGATAAATTACAGATAGTTCTCAAAACTACCAAAATTTCTACTGTTAAGCAAGACAGTTGTTAAGTGAGTTTTGCCCTTTGACCTTTCTGGTTACAGTTGTTAAATGCAGTTGTTAAGTTAATAACATGGTTGTTAAGTAAATCTGGCTTCCCCATTGACTTTGCTTGTCAGAAGGTTGCAAAAGGTGATCACATGATCCTGGGACAATGCAACCATTATAAATATGCCAAGTGGTTGAATTTTGATCATGTGACCACAGGGATGCTGAAAAATGGTCAAAAGTCACTTTTTCAGTGTTGCTGCATCTTCAAACGGTCACTAAAGTCGAGGACTACCTGTATTTGTTTAACTATATGTGAAAAATAAGGCATAGCACATTACATGTATCTAGCTATAACTTTTAAGCAAGCTGAGAAATGTTAACTATAGCTTTTCATCAGTGCTACCATTTTCATTTTCTACAATGGCTTGAACAATTATTTAAAGGATAGTACCAACTGCACCACAACTATTTCTACCTAAGACAGGGACAAACTAGAGTTTCTCCCCCCCCCCAAATATTTTAGGCTAAACATGTCCACCCACCCTGGACAGCTGGTAATACGGCCCCACAAGGTCATTTAAAATATAAAAAGGAAGTTTGTTATTTATACAGATAGTCCTCGACTTACAACCACAACTGAGCCCCAAATGTTTGTTGCTAAGTGAAACAGTTAAGTGAATTTTGTCACCTAACAACCAGTTGTAAATCAAGAACTATCTGTATACATTAACTAGTTATATATTTTATATGCGGCCCAAGACAACTCAGTGCAGCTCAGGCAAGTCAAAAGTTGGATGCCTGTGTTTTAGACTATTCCTACAATCCCTTGGCAATGGCTATGACATCTGGTCAACTGGCAGGGAAATTCAAAACATCTCAAGTATATCAGTTTGACTATAGTACTCCTATTTAAAGATCTATAGGGATTCACTACAAATAGAGGAAAGTCAGAGCCCTGTTAAGACTTGGAACCAATGCTGACCTAAAAAGTTTGGTTGCTGTGAATCATATTGCACTAACTCCATGCAGTAGCATGCAATAATTTTTTTAAAGAAATCCATTATATTAGAACTTATGCATAAATAATTTATGCATAAATACCAAAATGATCAGGTAGGGTCCAAGTCAGCAAGCAGGGTTGTAGGTATGTCATTTTGCATGGGGAACTATGTTCTGCTCCACACAACACCAAGTTTCATTTCTCTGTCAACTTTCAACCTCATAATTATGAACAGTGGCTGTAAAAAAAAAATCCCTTAACAAATTTGAAAATGAGGAAAGAGTGAAAAGTCACTCTCTCTCTCTCTCTCATCCCAAATCACCTCACAAAGTTGTGATAAGGAAAATAGGAAGAGGAAGGTATGTTGGAGATGTTTGTCACCTTGAGTTATTCGTAATAATAATAATAAAGGTGGGATATAAATAAATAACAAATAAAAGGGATTAGCATGGCCATATAACTGAGGGAACGAAAGATTTTCCCTCCTTTTCTCCACAAAGAGCCTTGGCATAACTTACGGAGCCCCTGTGGCGGGAACTGGGTGAGGCATCCTGTTGACATCTTGCTCAGGAGAGGAGTCAAAGAACGAATTCAGCGCCTTCTACAAAAGAAAAGTCAAATCCTAGTCCTCAACTTACGACCACAATTGTGCCCAAAATTTCTACTGTTCAGTGAGACATTTTGCCCCATTTTACGCCTTTTCTTGCCACAGTTGATAAGCGAATCACTGCAGTTAAGTCAGTAACCTGTTTGTTAAGCGAATGTGGCTTCCCCATTGACTTTGCTTGTCAAAAGGTCGCAAAAGATGGTCCCAGGGGCCCCGGGACCCTGCAACCATCATAAAGGCCAAGCATCTAAATTTTGATCACCTGACCATGGGGATGCTTGCAACGTTGGTAAATGTGAAAAACGGTCATAAGCCATATTTTTCAGTGTCGTTGTTAACTTCGAATGGTCACTAAACGAACTGTTGTAAGTCGAGGACTACCTGTATCGCGGTGGAGGTCCAGGAAGTCGCAGAACGAGGCAGGAAGAAAGACTCAAAACGGCACCTACCTGCATATCCCAGCCGTTCTCGGCCAAGTAGCGCTCAGCCGCGGCTGCGCCACTATTACTGATGGAGGCAAACTCCAAGCAAAGCCGTTTCTGCTGCTCCTCCAGGTCTTGCCGCGGCCCGCTTCCCTCCGCCGAGTGGACGCGCGGCCGCTCCTTCGCCTCGGAGGCCGCCTGCTCCACCTCCCCGTCCGCACGGCCGCCCTCCATCGCCTGGAATAGTTATTTCTAAAAGACTCTTCTGCAGCGCTTAAACGAGTAGAGGCCCGCCAGCGTTCCCCAGTCACTTCCCGTCGAAGCGAAAAGGTTGCGCATGCGTTACAGAGAATCTGCATGCTCGGAATTTCCTGTGTTTTCCAGCGCGCGCGAGGTCGTCGGAACGCGGAGGTGCGGACAGGCGATTCGAAAAAATGCTGAACGTTCGACGCGCTGGTTTGCACTGACTACCACGGATTAAAAGCGCTGGGGGGGGGGAGGGATTTGCGATTCTGCATATGCTAATCATCTGTTCTTTTGGGAACTGGACGTAGATTTTCTCATATAGCGCTGCGTTGCTTCGTGGTACCGCCGCAGTTTGAAGCTGCTCGTAACTGCCTGTTTGGGGATCGTTCTTGCTCTGAAAGAATTCCACGTTTGATGCCACTATGGCTCACGTCACCATTCAAACTCTTCGCGAGGTGATGAAAGTCATGTTGGAGTCGCCCGGCTTCGATCGGGTGGCGAATAAGGTAATGAGGTGTTGGGTTCATGTTGCTGATTTTCCCGGGTTGACCTTGAACAGACTGACCGAAAGGTTGCAGCAGCTACTGTAAATCATGGCCTACTGTATCCTTTCAAGGATGTTGAAGTAGAGCCACCTTAATCTTTTGGGTTAGCTAAAAATCAGGAGTCTGATAAGACCCTTTTCAGACGAACACATTTTATTAAAAGGTATTAAGCTTTTGTAAACCATAACTCACTTTTTCAGACACAATGGAATGGCTGGACTGATACAGAATTTAAATTCAGATGGGGGGGCAAGGGGAAAACAGAATGGTCACGCAGGTGACATGTGACACAGCTTACAAGTACCTTGTCCAATCACAATTATAATGTGTTAAAATATACTGTGTTTGCTGAGACCTGAGATAGTGTGAAATTTTTAAAATGATAATTTTATTAAAGGTTACAATTAAAAAGATAAGCCAATGCAAATCGAAAATATAGGAGGTGAAGAAAAGAAAAAAAAGAATAGAAAAATAGAGACAAAAGAAATATATAAAGAAATAACTTTCCCCTTCACCGCAACACGTATAAACAATGTTCAGGGAAGCTTTTATCAGTCAAGATCTGAAACAGGAGAACTACATTGTCAACCTAGAGATTATTGAGTGGGCTAATTCATATATGTATCTATATACTACTAAAACTCCCTTTGTGTTTATCGGTGCCCCTATTTGTACTTCAAGTTAGTGCAAATGGTGTATTGTACTGCAACAAAATTTGAATCAAGGTACTTAAAGTGTACTAATTCTAAAAATGTATAAAATAATCCAAGAATTTAAATTTCTACAATGTTCAGATCAGTTTTATTTGCAAAGTTATGGCCACCCAGGGGCAACTGCAGCAAAAGATTCTACCATCATCCATGTAAAAGAGTTACCTTGGAAAGAACTTCCAAGAAGTACAAACTTATCCTCTGCCCAATATTTAAGTAAATTTGCAAATAAAGTAACTCAAAGTTATTCAGGATGTGTGAATGCTGACTGAAAGTGGAAGTAAAGTAGAATGGAATCTTTATTCTACTCAATAGAAAGCCAGCATGTGCTTATAGGGTGCAGATAAAATTCACTGAGACATTATGGAACTAGATTTCTATTTCTCTTCCAGATGAAGATGGTCTCCGCGAACCCTGGAAAAGTTGTCTGTGAAATGAAAATTGAAGAACAGCACACAAACAGAGGAGGAACTCTGCATGGGGGCCTGACAGCAACTTTAGTAGATATTGTGTCAACAGCTGCGCTAATGTATTCTGAAAGAGGAGCACCTGGCGTCAGTGTGGACATGAACATTACGTAGGTATCAAACTTGGCGAAGGTTATTTCCATGCTTGTTTCCTTTTATCTGAGCCTTCATTCTGCACTGAGTGTGACAAATCCAACTTGTATTAATTCCAAGACATCATCAGTCCAGTCCAATGCTGTGATACTACTGGCTGTATAAATTTAAATACTTTTTGGAAAGCTAGATTTCTATATCCAGATTCTTCAGGGGTTCTAAAAGGTAGTGAAATATTCATTAGTCACGCTTTTGTTTTGAAGTACCCAAATCATTATTTTAGCTTTATTTTTGTAGTAAGCCATTACTATTCATTACTATTACTATGTAAGGAAGTGAAACAAGAACTAACAGACCCATCTGCCTTATATCAATCTCGAGGGAGAGGTGTCTGTGGCTTCAGAGGAACGTGGGGAAGAGCAGGCCAAGGCAGGCCAGGGCCCTTCTGAAGTAGAACAGGTTGAACAGGAGAGACAGAGTTCAGGCGATGAGCAAGGGCCACCCCCACTGGATCCTCGAGCAGGGAGAATGGAGAGAAGGAGGGAACAACACAGGCAGGCTCAACTACTCGGGAGGAGAGCGTCCCGCCTCTTTCCACAAGGCACACCTGGAGACTGAGATTTAAGGAGATGCTGTGGGGAGAGGCATTTGTCGGGAACAAACGCTGATTCCTTGGAGTTTTGTGTGTGTGTTGTTGCTGATCTCTTGTTCTGTGACTTCTGCTTGGAAACCCGGAAACTCTTTACCATTGGACTGGCTGACAACGTTGCTTGGATGTTTAAAGAGGTGGAGCTCTTGCCTCACTGTCAGGAGGCTATGAGTTTGATCCTAGGTAGTGGCAGAGATTTCTCCCTCTTGAGATCCATGTAGGCGTCACGAAGGGCATCCAGCCAGTGAACGTTCCGCTCCATTCAATTGCCCTGACTCCACCCTAATGCAAGGATTACAGGATTGTTAAAAGAAAAAAAAATGGAGATTGGACAAGGATTCTCTGGATGCAACATATACATTTTACTCTTATGTCTGAAAGCTTCTCCAAACCTATCACTCTGAACAACATCCTTTTCACTGCATTCTGTTTTAATGTACGTGTCATTCAGAAAGATTTTTATATATGCAAAATGAAATTAAGAAATTTAGGGTGGCATATATCATTCTGCTGTCCCCAAAATAGTGTTGGATAAGCATGACTAAAAGTGATGGATTGAGTCCCTCTGCGAATATCTCAGCTAAGCAGGTACAAAAATATCCAACAATTTATTCAGTACTCTTTTTTTGACTTTTATTAAACAGTCAAAAAGTTGCTTAGGCAGGAAATTTAGTGGCTGATTTTAATTCAGTCTCTTTCTTCTGTCGCCCTGCCTCAGAACGCTTAGAGGACAGTTGTAAGGGTGACTTGAAGGATGACAACAACACATATTGCCTTTCATTGTAAATGTAAGAAATATTTTTCCCTTCTGTATTCTAGGTACATGTCATCAGGTAAAATTGGAGAGGAAATCCTGATCACTGCTGAGGTTCTGAAGCAAGGAAAAACTCTGGGTTTTGCCAATGTGAATTTAACAGATAAGGCAACAGGAAGATTGATAGCTCAAGGGAGGCACACCAAGCACCTGGGACACCAGTCATAAAAAAATAAAATAAAATCCTGAGAAATCCAAGAACATAGGATGGAGGAGTGTACCACAGCAAGTTTCAAAAATTGAGGTGCAGTCGTTGGGTAATGAAATAATATTGCAACATTGAATTCTGTTTAAATTAAATTGTTGGCCCAAGGTCAGATGTGTTGGTGTATAAATGTATACACATGTCTGTACATGTATTTATATTTATGTGCACCATGTCTAGGGTGAATAAATAAGGTCGGCCTTTTGTTTGTTAATAGAACATACATGTTAAATAAATGTTTCTCCTGCTAGGAAAAATAGTAAAGTGGAGCTAATATAAGTGTGAACCTTGAAGCACTGAAGAAAAGATATAGAGAAAATAGTTTTTCTCCTGAAACTCAAAGTTTGCTTTTGAGTTTCAGTTGTGGGAGGGACAGATGATGACAGCAGCTTCTAAGCCACTATTTTTCAGCCTCAGCAATTTTTAAGCATGGTTGGCTGAGGAATTGTAGGAGTTGAAGTCCACATAGCTGCAGGTTGCTGAAGTTGAGAAACACTGTTCTAAGCACTGGATTGAATCAAAAGAAGCTGTTTTCCCCCCAGATGTAATTCTTCCCCTGCAGCTCTGGGAAAGACAAAACACTCAGGGAAGTGGTTTTCCATCTTTGGGAAGAGCATAAAAGGTGATGCTAGGAGGGTTTTCAAAAAGGTAACATGGGATTCAACTCACTGTGATTTCAGGGGGCTCCAGTTGCCTTTTGTATTGGTGCCTTTAAGCCACGGGATTCACCTGAATGTATTTCTTTTAATAGAGTGTTGAATGAGTGCCCACCTAATAAAAGAAGGTGAAAGTCCGAAATCTTTTAAATGGCAGTATTCTTTCCAAAAGAATTTGTTTTGTTAAAAAGTACTGAGAGGGATGAGAAAGGCTGCTGAAATGTTATTCAATAACATTTTGATCTAGACGTTTTAATTTCAGTGTAAAATCATTTCTGCTATGCTTACCACAACACCAGCAAGAACATTTTATCCCTTACTTTGGCACACATACTTACATCTTTTTATTCAAAGACTGTCCCAGAATCAGCTATACTGAATGTAGATGAGTGCAGAAAAAGCCTAAGAAGTGGTGGAAGGAGAAAGCAGAGGCTAGTGCACGAGTTACTTGGGATAAGATGGGCTGTCAATAAATGTAATAATAATAATAATAATAGCTTGGTCCTTGTGATTTTGTGCCTGTGGGACTTCTGGGTGCTCTGTTCTTTTGTGATACTTGGCTAATTATATTTCAGACATTGAGTTGCTCTTTCCGTTGCTCTTGATCCCATAACTGTGATGATCTCTAGAAAGATTTCTAAAAGGAAGAAACTCCTTGCATTGCTCAGCTTCTGCCTAGTGATTTTGCTTGGGTTCACTGTTTTATTGCAGCTGAGGGTTATTCGCTGCAGGTGGCAGAACTTAACAACCTTGGCTTATTTTGAAAAAAAGCTAAGGGGATCAGCCCTCTTTAGTAATTGGATGGCAGAGCACTGGGAAATCTCAGGGCTGTGGGCTATATATTTATTTGTTAAATTTATTCACTGCCTATCTCGCCACAGGACTACCCTGGACAGCTTACAACAGTAAAATGGGAAAAATAATTTAAAAATGTAAACATAACAATAGCAAAGCAATGAAACTATAAAAAGAAACAAGGAAAA